TGGTTAGTAGACCTGCAGGATATGCAAATCCAATGTGCAGGGCGTGAACAAATTGTTAAACACTGCATTCACAATATGGTGCGCAATAATTCAACTTTTATTGAGGCATGCATATCAGCCAAAAAGACTTGCAGTGCTTGTATCTAAATCAAAATATTTCCAATGACATTGGTTACCTTTGCCAATCAGAATTTCCTTATGTCTTCTTAGCTAGCAAACCTTACTATTCCACAACATTGACAGCAACTTACTATAGGGTAACAGGCGGCTGACTTAGGCCTCTTATGATTGGGCAGATCTTGCTAATGCATGGGCCATGTATCCAGGACTCCAACAGACATGTCATATTTTCACATGCTGAGTTTGTTTTCAAATGCACTTTGCACAAGTTTTGCCTTGTATTGCTTCCCATGCAATCTTTTGGGGTGTGTTAATTGTGCATGTTCAGTGCCGCAATCTTTGAATGTTGTATTGTCTGTATCTTAGTGAAAGTGGAAACGTTGAATGCTAGATTCCATTCTGTCACCTCCGTGTCTCCTTCATGAACTCGGCAACGTTGATTCCTTCTATTCTTGAAATGTAGGCCAGGCAGAGAAAGAGGGTTGAAGACAATAAAGTCAGACCCACACATGCAGTTTATATATGCAGTCCTTATGTAATGTGTGCCACAGTGCTGCTGCTGCTGTGGTTTGCTTTGTATTTTTAGCCGCCTGACAGCATGGCGAGGATGAGTATCATTCTTTGGCCGTCATGTGGCTCTGTGGTCAGTGTAACCCGGGAAAACACTCCACCTCCAGAACTCTCCACTAGACTTTCCCTCCAGAGGCCTGTGATAAATGAGGTCGACTTTTTGTTGTTGTTACAGTTTTGTAATAAATGAGGAGTTAACTGTTCTCTCTGGGTGTTACATGAACAATACCCACGGCTGTTTTTTCTTTTCAGTTCTGGGTCCACAAAGAAGCAGACATTAGCAAGAAATGAGAAAGCTGCTTGAAGGGCCAACACACCTTGTTTTTCCACCCCTCCTGTATTATGCATGATGTTATTTTTTCATGAACTTTATGTCCTTTTGATTAAATAGGAGAAAAATTGAACTCAGATTGGATTAATAGTTTGGTGTGCTTCTCCTGCATTTAACGAAACCACGCAAGTTGACCACATCGTTCTTTTCTGCTTTGTGTAAAGCCCATGTCAATGAAGGATGTGACCCCATGACCTTGTACTTGCACACAAACACATAAAAAGCTTCATCAACATCTCCCTTCTTCTTCAGGCTGTCTGTCAGCGTGTCAGCCTTTCCATACATGTTCACATGAAGGCTTTTTATGGTGGAGAATGTTAGGAGCAAACCTGAAGGTGCAAAAGGAATATTTGTTTGTCCCACCACTCTTTCTCTCTCCTGTGCCTCAGCTATTCTCCTTCTCCACCAAGAGCAGAGAAGATGTCGTTCAAATATTTGTATAACGTAGATAAACGTGCTGCTGAATTCACTTGCTCAGCCGGCACTGAACTTGTTTTCCATTTTGAAACGAGAGAGGAGTCGATTTAGCATTTTCTGTGTTTTGTTTTCTGCTCAATTCCCAAGTAAGTATTTCTAAAAGAGAAGACAGCACGTGTCCCACATCCTGTCCTCTGGGTGTTACTCCAGCATCTTCTCATGCAGGAACATTTATGAGTTTGCTCGGTGTTGGACTGGAAAGTGAACATAGATTGTGGTCCTTGGCTCAGGATGCTTATGCAGATGTGAACCTCTTGGACCTCCATTCTTTGACCAGTTGTTCTCAACTTATAACCTAACTCAATCGCTCATTTCCAACGAGTCTGATACAAAAAGTTGTTCAGAAGAAAAAAAGGTATCCTTTAATTCATCCCCATGAGGAATTTCAGCACACTGTTTTTCGAACATGCTATGCACACAGGCCAGGAACACATGCACATTAGATCCTGTCATGCACTAATGGAGCGATTTGAGAGTGAGCACATGGAAGAGCAACACAACCAGTTGGGGGTTCGATGCCTTGCTATAGGGCAACTCAGCACTGCTCAGGGAGTGAGCAACCAGCAACCCGACATTCCCAATTCCAGACTTGTGCCCATATGGACTTAAACCAATATGCTTTCTTTGGCTTGCTTGAGTATCAGTCCAATCAGATACAGCATATTTATCATGTAAACTTGACAAGTTGATTTTAAACAATGATTTGTAAGTTAACTGTAGAGGTCTGCATGTGCAAAAAAAGACAACCGAGGGTAACCTACAGGGTCATTCTGAAGTAAACCACTGACAAAGCGACTGTTTCTTACCAGTCGGGAGTTTGAAGGGTTAAATTTGAATATGTAATTTGACCTGAGTGTCCATGGGGCAATAAGAGGTTTTAAAGGACCACAGGTCTTGGTCCACCTCATTCACCTCCCTCCTTTTCTTGCATTGTCAGGGCTGACCACACATCACTTTGTACAGAAAATTAGCTCACTGACTGTCTCCTCATCAGCCTCTCACTGTGAGGAAATGATGAGATGCATTTGTAATCTGAGTGCAGGAGCCAGGACACAGTGAACCAGCGTTTTCTCACCATCTGCCAATAGCTGGAAGTGCTAATCAAAGAAAGATACACAAATGGCTCTTTGTTTGGTTACAAGCTTGGCTCAGTCGCTCTGCAAATATCATTTTATTATATCAATAAACACCCAGCTTTTGTAAGATTTGTGTTAATCACCGTTTGCCCAATGTTGTGGGAATTACAGGATAACTTTGCTGTTTTTATATTTATGCTTCTTGACAGTCACAACAGCAACATGTATGATGAGGACACTCTTACGATGAATGTTTTCAACGCTGCAGATGATGAAACTCAAACAAAAATCGGACTGCGTGTGCAAATGGGAGGAGACTGGTAGAGGTCAAAGTTAGACCTGTTCTAGTTCTTGACATAAAACTGTCTGATGGACTGTGAAGGAGGATAAAAAGAGGCATGCCAGTCGTTCAGTGGTGACGTCTCTAGCATGGCATCACTCTGACTGGAGTTAGCAGCCTTTTCAGCTCTTCTCCTGATTCCATACATTAAGACTCGCTAACGCCCCTTGCTAATTAGAGCTCTCTTCACGCCCTCGCACTGCATATGGTTGGAATCACTGCGCTTGTCCACTTAAATCATCCATTATTACATTAAGCAGAAACTCTAAAAGTACAAAATCTGCTGGCTTTGAAATGACTCTCTGGGTGAGACTTTGTCAGTGGGGAATGTTTTTACAGGGGGGGACTCCCTTGAAAACGCTGTATTTCATCCAGATGTGCATGGTTTCGGAGGACGTAATGGTGCAAGCTTCAGCGAGCTCTGCAACAGTCACAGCCAAAACTTGTTCCCCTTTGAGCCGGGAAGCTGTATGACTAGTATACCTCCACAATACAATACAACATATTAGTTCAGTATTTTCTCTAGCTAAGCACAAAGTTTTAAACCTAACCAAACTTTTACAGTAATAAGAAACAATAGTCTCACATTTTGGTTTGATGCAGGAACCAAAATCTGTTGGGATTTTTGGGGGATTTAAGGTGAAGATTAGCTTAAAAAAACAACACTTTTGTATTGTTTTCGTATCCAAAAAGTGGCAAGACAGTCCAATGAGGGCCTTCAAGAATGTACACCAAGAACTCAACGCAGTGGGACTCAGGACGTCGGGCTTCACCCTTAAGTGAAGTGCCTTATTTTTAGGTAAACCTCTTAGTAAAGAAATAAAACAGCCATCATGTCCTGTATCTATCAGGAAAATTCTGGTTTATATGAAAACCTTCGGACTCGTTGTTGTAATGTTTTGTTGTTTTAATTCAAGAAATCTGTGTTCTTGCTATGCAGCTAGTATTGCCCATATATAGTCTCATTATGCCATTTATTTCTTACCCACTTATGTACAAGCACACCCCACCACCACCATAACCAAAAAAGGGCGCTTTTGTCTCAGACCATGACCTCAGTGGTCCTGATTGCTTTTCTTTTCTTTTCTTTTCTAAGATAAGAGTTCAACCAACAATCAGTTGTTAATTGCAGAGCTGGATCACGGTTACACTGCTCTCCTCAGTGGGTGATAAACAAGTGTATTGAGTGTCCCTCTGTTGTTTAGGGGGGAATGCACTCCTGTTGTTGTTTTTGAGATTCAACCAATGAACCATTGTTTGACTGAAAAGTTATTACTCATATCAGTGTGTGAGTTTTGTCAAGGAAAAATAAACACTTTAAGTCACTAAGATTATCTGCAAGTTTGATTGAAGGCAATCTTCATCATGACAGATGTTCTGTTGTCATTATTTTTTAGTCCAAGGTGACATCTCGGCCTGTTTACTGATCTATGTCACTTAACCGCTCGGCCTGTGCAGAAAAGTGAGGATGATGTTGTGCAGTCAGGACATGCCCCTCTTAGGACAGATTAAGGAAACTACTGTTTGGCTTTTATCACCCAGCTTAACGGTCTCCGTGATATCACAGCGCTTCTCATCAGCAGGTTTTAATGTGGAGCTAGTCTGTAATTGAGGCAGAGTGTCAAGTGTGAAGAAACACCTCGCTGCTCCCTTTTTAACATGCATACTCGAGTCTGTGCAGCCAGCCAGGCTTCAACTCTGCTGGTTCAGTTTAGAGAAATAGGGGAAGGTTCAAACTCTTAAAAACTAACCGTGCACTCTCCACTTTAGACCCACATGTTTTGTGTCCTTGAGCCAGGACGCTGAACTTTCAGCTGATCATGTGAGCTAAAATCGATTCCGTCAAACACTGTCAGCTTACTGTTTAAACTGTTAATGGCTGCCTGGTACCTAATTGAAGTCCCTCTCATTCTCACATCGTACCCTCTCTTTTCATTTGCCCTTCCACTGTCCTCCACTGAGTTAGATTTATGACTGTCAGATTTGTATTTTACTGCCATAGCAAGGACGCAAGAACCGCCTGTACCTGCTACAACAATGAAAATCAATCTCCTCTCTCCCCCTCTCTCTCTCTGTATCCGTGCAGGCAGCCGGTGGGGATGGGAAATGATGGAGGACAAAGGCCCTCGTGTAGCCGACTACTTTGTGGTGGCCGGTCTGACGGACCCGTCCAAGCCGCTGGACCAGGAGATCCACTTTGATGACGTCTGCCACAAGACCGCCAAGCCTAAGGCGCCCATCACCGATGTGGCTGTGGTGATCCGTTCCATGGGCGAAGAGGCGCCGCCAGGGTTCACATGTGTAGAGGAAACCCCAACCGGCCATTCTGCTGACCTTAACAATGGAGGCCTCATGGCGCCTCAGATCTTCCTGTGTTACAGGCGAGGCCGCGACAAGCCACCTCTCACTGACCTGGGGTAAGAACCAACGGAGCCTTGAGTCTATGTTTGGAGCGATATCTAAACACAGAATTTATGGTTTAAAGAAGGCTCAGAGTCTTCAGTCCTGTTAGGAGCTCTTTGAGGCATAATGGTGCAGAAGCCTGATGCTGAAGTTCATAATGCTTCCATACTGAGATTTAGGAGTTACAGTGTTCACCATCCTAGTTTAGCATGTTATCTAGGGGTTGAACAAAATATATCGATATGGCAAATACTTTGTTTTCTTGATTCTACTCTAAATAAATGTCCCCATCAACTTAACTCATTGATGATTGCTCATGACTCCCTACGGGCAGGAAGTAGCAGAGAGAATCACTCCCATGATTCCCTTCCAGCCTCTACGTCATCTTTCTGTGTTATTTTGATTGAGAGCCCCCTGGTGGCAGAATTTACATATTGTGCCTTTAATGGAAACTTATTGTCCAATGATGATAACTCTAGATGAAAGGTTACGTTCTAACCCGTTTTCCTGAAAGAGACATTAAAAGTGTGCGCTAAATGTCAAGACGGTCCATCTTAAAGTTGTTGAGCTGTTGAGCTATAAAACCCACAAATGTCATGTTGGCTGTTAAAGTAAGATCTTCAAATTCAGTGAGAAGTAGAACAAGGAGAAGAAAGGTTTAATGAAAACAAGTGGGAAAGAAAAGAGAAGAGAAGAAGTAACAGGATCAATATCCCTTCATTCAGTTGCAGCTCTCCTTGGCTCAGCCTTTGTAGGAAATAAAACACAGAAACTTGTAACAGCTGAATGATCAGACGAATATAGTGATTTAGAGTAAACACAAAAAACAAAAACATTTTGATATTCCTCTGCTCTGAATCCTTTTCGTCTCACAGAGTGTCTTCTTTATTAAGCTGGAAGAGTTATTACACGTTGTTTAAGGTAGTGAAGTCAGTATACTGCAGCTAAAGAGAAAAGATGAAGAATGACTGAAGCACATTTTAAGATCCGCCGTGACGCTGCAGTCCTTCCTCTTCCTCTTCTGTGCAGAATATGTAACCACAAAGCTGGTTGTAAGAATCATACTAATTCACATTTTGCTGAATTTTATAAAACATCTATTTGAGCTGATGATGTCCTTTTTTCTGGACAACTCTGAGCCTCTTTATCCACTTGATCTAGTAATGAATGTGTTGCAACATGAACATGCTGTATCCATTATTTGTCTCATTACTATTAATGATTAGAAACAGTGTTGTTATTCCTGAGAGTGTCAGCTTTCTTCTTCTCTGAACTAGAGTTCCCAGTCCCCATTTAAAAAGTCATCCACATCACCTCTGCTCTTAAATGCTGAAGTGCTCTCAGCTTTAAAAAAAAAGAGCTCTGCGCTGCCTGACATTTCTTCCTGTGCAGCACTTTTTTCCTCCACAGCAGCCGGTTTTCTGTCTGTCTTGCAGCCGTTCCGCCATTGTGATTTTTGCAACAAAAAAAGTGAAATGGTGTGAAGCAGCAGTTACAGGTGTCCTCCTCAGCAACACCTTTGTGAAGTATGGGAATCCAATACTGTTTGTTCAGTGCTCGCACACCTCAGGCGGGCAGAGACAGGTGGTGACAATGCTAAGGAGGCTCGTGTTGGCCTCTGACTCTACAGAGTGCAGTGCTTATCAGGCACTGACGCTGAGGCTGCTCACACGCTATCAGCAGCTTTGTGTGCTGAAAGCTCAGAGGGGCTGCACTTCCCAGACACCGGTAGGACTAATGGGAAGCTGACGTGTGTCTGTGTGTGCAAGTCTAGACGTCACGTGCATCTGTCTTTACTCATTTCTACATGTGAGAGTGTGAGAGAGAGGGATAATCTTTTACCAAGTTAAATTCATATCAATTTGTCCTAATTTAACACTGGGGACTAGAGAGGAGTATGAGAAGCATAAGCACCTCTAAGGTTTCAACAAGGAACGGAGGAGGTGGTAATCCACCCAAACACTTACACATGCCATCTCTTGATCACTTCTGTCGGCAGCCACACTCAACTCTCTCTCTCTCTCTCTCTCTCTGAAGATTAAGGGCGCACTCACAAAGTAGCACATGTAAAGTCTGTTGTCACCTTCATGGATTTCTTGATTTCTTTCTCGATTTATCGATTAGAAAGATGAAAAAGTCCTTATTTTGTCGGTTTTTGCTTGTAGTTGACATTTTTTTCAGCTTAAGGTATTAAGAGTGTCATGCAAAAATGAGGAGGTCAAACATCTAGGAGGAGCTCAAGTTGCTGTCTGTTGGAAAAACATTTAGTGCTTCCTGAGAAACAGCCTCCCTCCGCAAAAACTGCACTCTGGATTTACGTTTTTCATATGTCCTTTATTGTTTTATAATGTTATTTTCCGACAGAGGTGAGAAATCTCTCTTGAAGTGAAGGGAAGAAACAAAACGAGGAAAACAAACCTGCATAAACATCTGAAATTCTCATGCAACTTTTTTTTCGAGAGACTTCAAGGTCTTATTTAGCAAACACAAAAGCCATTTTAAAGTTCCTAAGAATTGCGTGCTCTGTTGATAATAGAGGAATGTAACCTCGTCTGATGGCAGATTTCTGCGTCAACAAAAGCAGATTTTGTATAACAGCATACAATGTTGTGCACTAAGTGTTTGGCCCTTCTCTGAGCAGAGCAGATTCTGTGATGAGCACCGAGAATGACAAATGGACTGAATAAAAAATTCTTGTAGCTAGCCTCTATGAATTCTTTTCTCTTTTTCGGCGTTCATTTAGTACCACACGCTGCCTGTTGAGCTCCACTTCAAACAGTAATGGAGCATAAGTGCATTATGGAAGCGCAGAGGGGGCTGTTTAAAAAGACTGCTACTGCTGTGTACCTCTCAGTACTCATCCTCTGAGTGGTTTCTGCGAGCGTCCTCTTGTGCCTCATTGTGAAGCTGGCGCTGGGTTAATATGTTTTTGTCAGACTTTGCATTAATCTTTCTGCACATGGTGTGAGAGGAGGGTCAAAATATATCGCAAATGTATTTGATGTAGGGTCAAACGTAAATTTAACCACCATTACAAAGTTTTTTCTTTCTATAAAAACCCATCCAAGACTTAGTAAAGGCTATCAGAAATTTGACCATATTTTTGTTATAAAATAGATTTACACAGCTTTACCAAGTGTACATTTAAGTAAAAAAAAAAAACGAAACTCTGGGTGAAATCGACAATCCGGCTGTTTGCATTCAAACATATAACTCTCCTGGAAATCTCAGAGGGTTTTTTTGGGCGATTTCTGAAAATGTGAAAGTCCTATTGGAGTTTCTCCTTGCCGTCTTGTTATATAAGCTCATATATCTTTCTATTAATCACATTAGTTCTGCTTTGCTGGATATGAGGTGCAGAGCCAACATTAACCTTAATCAACTCAATAATGTCAGCAAATGCATTCTGGGATAAAAGCCCAGTTTACGACTTAAACAGGCTGCTCCACCTAATTGGCTCAATGAGATCACTACAGCATATTGTGTTGATTAATCCTCATAATTAGTCTATTAAGCACACATTGATGTAGAGTTCTGTTTAGCTAACTGCAGTGTCCTGCCCCCCCACCTCCACAGTGTGCTGTATGAGTGGAAAGAGCGACTGAAGCAGGGCTGCCACCTCATCCAGACCACGCCCTCCGGTCGCCCGGCCAACATCAGCGGGAATTCCTCCCAGCGAATCTACGTCACCTACCGCCGGGCGCCTGAGAGCCAGCCTCACACTGCCCTGGCCGTCACTGACATCTGCATAATCATCCCGAGCAAGGGAGAGACGCCCCCACACACCTTCTGCAAGGTGGAGAAGAACCTCAACAGCAGCATGGTGAGAGGGACTATGGGGGAACAAAAACACAGATTTTTTTGAGTGTGTCAAGTCAAGGAAACTCGATCAGTGCTGAAATGGAGGTTTTGTTAAATTATAGTAAGCATCAATATTTCATGTTGGTGTCGGAGACTTTTTGCTAAAGCTGCCATTTTGCAAACCCCCCCCCCCAAAAAAAAAAACCAATCACATCAGGAGAAACTTATCGCCCACATATAAGAAGACCAATATGTATACCCGTTGATAAGTGTCAAAAACTTAAACTTAAATCTAGAATGATCCGGTTTTGAAAATCATCTTAGTCGTCTCACGTCTGTACCAGCCAAGCAACCCGTGTTTCCCTTCATAGATGAAGACAGACGAGTCTCTGCAGCCTGATGGCCATCACTTCAGTTCTTGGTTTCTTTCTTAACCACACAGAATCCCATCAGTGTACTCTCAGAGTCATTGCTGCGTCAGCTCGGTCTACAGTGATAGAAAATGATTGTAAGTGTGTAAATGGCTGCATGGGCCTTTAGATTTCTTTAAAGAGATTAAGTGATGGAAGTCGTGTTATAAAGTTAATATGTAAATGTAATGAGACTTACAGTGCGAGACGGAGCGCCTCCTGTGATGAAATAAGAGATTTAGCTACCATAATTTGTCAATCGGATAAATGTAGGACCCTGTTTTTAATATTTCAGTTCAGCTCCAGGTGCACACTTTATGTGCAGTTTTTGGGGAATTCAACACAAAAAAGTGATTTAGTAGATGATGTATCATCACGTCTCTCTGCAGGCTAATGCTTCAGCTACTAGATGAACAGGCCTGAGTAATGCTACATGTTTGTACTGTATTACATTTTATTTGTAAATACACCAGTTTGCTCGATGGCAGCATTTTAACTGAGGCCACAAGGTGAATGACTGCAGACTGAACTTAGATATTGATTTTACACAGAAGAGCTTTTACCAGTTTTTACTTCATACTCATCTGTTAACTCACATTGACACACACACACACACACACACACACACACACACACAGTTGGTGGCAGAGCAGTGCAGCAAAATCACTGGCTTGGAAATAAGGAGCAATTTTTGGCTTCAGGCAAGATTGTACACTTTCTCAGTAATTTGAACTCAAAGTGATAGAAAACCCCTTCAAGAGTCAGAGAGCAGCCGATTGATCTTGTGTTAACTTAACTTGCTATTGTTGTGCCTGTCACTTTCATTTGTTCATCACTTTGGTCAGCTCTGGTTATTTAAACACAAAATGATTCTGTATAGAGCAACCATCATAGGGAACATCCAAGTTTGTCATCAAATTCCTGGTTGTCTTTTTTTGTTTTTAGTTACAGCTTTATTTTACTTTATTTTATTTTATTTTACCAGGCAGGTCATTAAGAACAAATTCTTATTCACAAAGACGGCCTGGCAACCTCTCTTGTTCTTGTTCTTGATCTGATCTTGACCTAAATCTCCTCTAGCCCTCTCTTCTGTCTAATGTAAGAAAAAGCAATGTTAACATTTTCAAAAGTGCATGTTATTTCCACCCAATCATGTAGAGACATCTTTTACATTTTTCCTTTGAGTTGCAGAAGATTCTCTAATAATTAAGATTTGAGACTCTACTTTTTAAGTATTGCGTTTTACAAAGTGCTGCCAAACTTTCAGCTGCTTCCACTCGAATCAATAAATAAAAAAACAATAGAAAAACAAACGCACATGTGAACAGAAAGGCACAAACTAATGCAAAGCAACACAACAACTTTGAGATCAAAGCCAAGACAAATCATGGAAAACATGCCAAAGGGGAAGAAATATTTTAAAATCTTTTCTCAGCTTTGACTAAATTTTGGTGCATCCTGAAACACCCCCAAAAGAAGTTTTTTTTTAAACTCTGCATGCAACTTCTCTTCCATGAAACAATATTGCTGTAACACAAAAAAGAAATGAACTCAGATTTCAGACTTTAAACATTTTTTTCCTTAAAGATGGGAGTCCATGCAAAATAGAAAAATTGGAAAAATTGCCAATACTTTACAAATGTCTTAATTAGGAGTATAAATCAGTAATTAATCACCAAGCTTAAGATGACTATTTCAGTGGGATTCTCGATTTAAAGTTTCACATTCTGTTGTTTGTTCTGCAGCAAGTTGAGCAAACACTTAATGTTCAGATTATGTTTTGTCATAAGGTGGCAGAGCGTAACATTTTTAGTTAAAAATGATGAAGCTGACTTTTTTTATGATGTCAGAGTTTCAGTTTGGAGTACACTTTTATCCAGCCGTGTTGTATTTTCACTTTTTAAAAAGTAGTACTTAACTCTGCGATCTTTGTATAATGCATGCTGTTTCTTTTCCCATCATGCTAACTTTCCTCACTCTGATCCTGTTTTCAGTGGGGCTCCTCGGTCTACTTGTGTTACAAGAAGTCTGTGGCCAAAACCAACATGATTGCCTACAAAGCAGGTAAGGCGTCCTCATCCTGAAAACTACAGCTGCACAAAGATCCCAATACTGATGAGAACTTCCTGCTGCTGGCTGATAAGATTGAGATATCAAATGACCATGGTGGATGTAAATACTACACCCAGTTTTTTCTCTAAATGTTTTTTTTTTCTTATTTGAGAAACAGTCCATTTTCAGACAGAGAGGATAACTGAAGATGTGTTTGAAAAGTCACATATAAGACATATTATAACAATGCAGTTATAGCCTGTTTTTCTGTTGCTTCAGCTGTGTGTAGTGTCTGGAGAGGGGAGGGTCTGCTGCAGACTGAACTGGCTGCATGAGGACATTCTGTCACAGTTGTTCTTGCAGACTCAGACTTGTTGATGCACGTTGATGCCTCAGAATAAGAGCGTCTAGATAAGCCTTTGCACGCCAATATTCCTCTCCTTTAAAAGATTGAAATGGTCGTCAATATATTTAATGGTAATGTGAGTAATAATATACTTGCATCCCATGAAATCCATCAGACTTTTCAGCACACAGCAGACTGTCATTCTGTGATAACAGTGTTGGCTCCGTCTGCCGCGTTTGGCTCGGCCTCAGACTGGCTGGCTCGAGCATTTTGTTGAGCATGTCTTGAATATGCAGCAGACTGTGAATGCAGAGATCCTATCTGTTTCTCACTAATGCTTTGCATGAGTCAGCCCACAGACTTGAAGTTTATTTTCAACCTTTCACGCCAGGAAGATTCCAGCACGCTTAGAGCTCTAAGTTTTGGAAACAAGACATGTTTTGCAACATCTGACTTTATTTACACAGTCATGCAACAGCGTGATCCAGAATGAGCAAGCTGAGTCTGCTTTGTTGGAGGATATATGGTACTGGAAAAAAATACTAATAAATGTTCACATGTGGCTGCAGAGCAACACAATTCCCACTGTGTACAAGACTGCTAGGAAGAATTCCTAGCAGTCTTATATAAGATAAGAATCTTATTTCTTTAAATAAGCATCATCAGTTCATAATTATATTATCAAACTTAATGAGTTGACTCAACTTCATGTTTAGTGTTTGTACGTTTTATCCCAAGAGAATTGTCAATAACTCTGCATCCTTGTTGAACTCGTTGACCCTGTAATAACTTTTACAGTTATTGTCTCGGTGCTCTTTCACTCTATATCTATATCTGATTTCAGCTGATTCAGCAGTATTTGTCAGACAGATCAAATCAGCAGCTACATCTGATCAACTAATGGAAACATCTGGTAGATGAAGAAACAGATGTCTTCACATTTTTTGGCAAATTAATTTAAAAAAAAAGAAAAAAGAGTGAGATGTAATTCTTTTGTTGTTTTGAGCCACAGTTTATCTTTGCAAACTGTTTTCTACAAGATGTTTTTTTGTGCAGTTTGTGTGCGTAATCAATGCATGCAGAACGGCGTCGTTAAAGCCAAAGTCAGATGCTGCAGAATGGAGTAAGAGATGGCACTGAACAAAATCACTACCTCATTGTTTCTTTTTTGTTTTCCCTGACAGTGATGAATGGCCCAAAGGCCTGATTACCTAGAACTGATTGCTTATTACAGAGCCCAGATTTTTTTTAAGTGAATCCCTGGCTCGACGAAGTGGTACATCATCACTGTGATTAGAATAATTTGAACTTGTTTTGTTTCATTTCAGACTTATTGGAAAGGTAGTTTTCGCATCTAAATCGGCTGTTAATTGATAATCACCGGGGAGAGATGGCAACATGCGGTTCTTTGAATCGAGTTCTCCGTTTGATTTTCTTTTTTATCCACTTGTAGGTTTATTCAGCAGATATCCAGAGGAGGACTACGAGTCTTTCCCCCTGCCGGAGTCCGTCCCTCTCTTCTGCCTTCCCATGGGGGCCACAATCGAGTGCTGGCCAGCTAACACCAAATACTCCCTCCCTGTTTTTTCCACCTTTGTCCTGACTGGAGCATCTGGAGAGAAGGTAAATGTGGAAATAGCTAGATTCTTCTTTCCTACTTTCCCGCTCATCCACACGAGCAGGAAACACCTCAGTAGCAGCTTGAGGTGCGAGGGTGCCAGTGACTGTTAGACCTCAGCAGCGTACTGTGACTTTCACCCTTACAGGTGACGCAGAAAACCACAATACCCCACATGCCAGCAGAGAAAGTGGGTCACAATGCGTCTTCCTTTTGTTGGTTAAAAACATTGTTACTTGACATCTAGTGTTTGCATTGTAAGGTTGGGCCTCCTCACATACAGCTAAAGGATGTAGAAAATGCACATGGGGTCCTTGATGTGTGATTTTGCACAAACGACACATAGATTACATTCAGATTACAGTGTAAACATCTGTAAACGATATATGCTCTGAGGCCTAGATGAGCTTTTAGCCCAGTATGTTTTTTTTGCCAGCTGGATGACTGGGATTGAATTAGCGCTGGAACTGATAGTGCAATTTTCTGATTTGGACACAAACGGCTGTTACACCCAATAAATCATGTGTCTAGAAAAAGGAGAGAAACAACAGCAACAGCCTTATACTAAAAAAATAACACTTTTGTATGTAATTTCACAATAATGGGTAAAATATGTAATTTCAAGTCATTTCTAGTTTGTATTTGTTTTTGGAAGGCATTTTGCGACCCCCCTCTGGGAACCACTGCACTAGCACACACTCAAAGTGCTTCACTGTCACCGGAGCTTTTCCACGTCTACTGGAGGATGACAGAGAAGGCTCAGCCAAGATGACCGCTGCAAAGGTTACTTATAACCTCTCACTCTGCGAAACCAGAATTACCAACCCTGCCTTTAATGACAGAAGAAACATGCAAATGTGACAACACCACTCCCTATATGTTTGATTTCCTGCAGACTTAACGTCAGCTAAAGACAACACATTCATGGTTTTCAGAATCTAAACATGAGGCCCTGCTTCCTGCTGCGTTGGTCTGTGGGTTTGGAAAGTGTCCAGTTGGGATGACTTCTCATGTTGACACGTATTAGTGAATTATGTGGTGAAACACAATCCTGATTGAATACAAATAACATCCAAAGCCTGCTGATGTTTAGATGGCAGCGGTTCTGCAGAACAAGGCCAGTGAGGGGTCAGCAGGGATCACTGGAGCCAAACCCTCCGCGCTCTGCTGCTGCTGAGTCAAGCCTGTGTGTACGATGTATGTGTGTGTGTGTTTGGATGGCCTGCAGGAGACCATGCTGAGGATATTTGTTGAGAACAGTGTGTGTGTGTGTGCTGAAAGAGTTCACTGTTTCCTCTCTTATTTTTACGTCTACATGGTTTTCGTTGTTGAACATGTGTGTTATCTGCAGCATATGATGGCCAAAGCAGGGGTTCCCAAACTTTGCCATGCCAAGGACCCCCACAGAGCATTAACCTCAGACCAGGACCCCCTCTTGCAACATTTCTTAACTTCCTTGGACATTACGATGGAAAAAAACATCAACCTTGAGACCAAGAACTAAAGCCATACTACTAATCTAAAAATACAGATTACAATTTATTTCTCACAAATAATGTTTTTTCTTCCTCCAAGATTCTGAGACCCCCCTAGCACTCTTTGGCGACCTCTCTGGGTCTGAACACCCACTTTGAAAAACACTGGGGTAAAACACTAACCCAGAATGAGCCACAATTATTCAGTCTGTATATCGACACACACACACACACACACACACACACACACACACACACACACACACACACACACACACACACACACACAGGCGTCCTGAGGTCAGTCATCAGCAAACAAAGTCTTGGGTAACATCTGTCCTTTTTGGGGAAAATGTTACAAACTGAGGCACACAGGCGGACACAGTCAGCCAGCAGATAAGCCAGTTAGCTTTGATGTGTGTGATTGTGAAACTCACATTTCCAGTAAGCAGACGGGATTTTATTTGTCTTAATGCCGACTCTGTTCGGAACAAACTCTGTTTGTTCGGCCCCGGTTGGCACTCGTGATTCTGATGTTCAACAACAGTTAAACAAAGTACTCTGTGCTTACTTTATTTCTGTGCCTATTGATTCTTTCATTAATTTAGAGGGCGGGGTGATGATTTAGAGCACTGCAGAAAGGTTTCTAAACAGTCTGCTCCTTTTCATTATTAGTTGGCTCGCTCATCTGTTTGGCTTTTTCTCCGGGAAGTTGTTGTTCAAAAATGACAAGAGGTTTAATTTACATTTTGAGTGGGAGAGATAGTCCAAATGTTGACTGTAAATATGGGACATTTTTAGATAGAGGATATTTTGGATTGTCTCTGTGTCTTTAGTTATATTGGTTTGTTTTACTCGTACCTGTTAGAGAGTGATTTAAATCAATGAGGTTCCTCATTACTGCCATTTTCCACATACTCCGGTCCGCACCGCTGCCCGTCTGCGCTGCTCCAGTCCATGTTCCTGTTTCTACAGTTTGCGGCGCGGACCGTCTCAAGAGCGTGCCAGCAGCTCCGCTCTGCTCTGTTTCAAATACGCTGCAAGTCTGTTTTGGACTGAGCTCGCTGCAATACGCCTTCAGCTAGACAAAATAGATCGAGCCGGACAGGAAGTCAGACAAGGAAATGCACCGAGCATGTGGTCAATTTCAAAATAAAACACAATAAACAGACACAGGATAATTTTTTCATCACTTTATCAACATTACGTCCAAAACAGGCACCAAATGAACAACAAATCAACCTCAGGAAGAAAAGCAGTTGCTAGTTTTTCCTCTTTATTCCTGCGTGATCTTGTGGTTCCCCTGTGACGGAGCAAAACCCCGTCGCTGACGGACTTTGTGGAATTTGGCAGTTAGAAGAACAGTTTGGTCTGTTAGGATATCGCTGTATACAAATAAATTAGTTTTGAGTTGTGCTTTTAGTCAATCAACAGAACAGAGCAAAAATAATAATTAATAAATTGTTGTTTTTTGTGCTAAAACGTTGCCAAATTCCGCTGTTGAAATGTGAATATTTTCTATAATTGTGGGTTGAATGTCACTTGGCAGATTAGATAATAAAGAGTATAAATGTTGTAAGCAGCTCTGAGAAGTCTAGCACAATAAAGTTTTTATTACTGCTCATTAAGACGGTTAAGACAAAGGACTTTCTGCATTTCTCAGACCTCGAGGTTACCACTTGATGGACAAAAGGAGGGGATGAAGGTTGTGTAGCAGGAGAGTCCGCTGACATCTCAGAAGCATGACATGATACATCTGCAGATCTTGACCCGTGTTTCCAACATGTTCTTTGCTTCAGGTGTACGGTGCTGCGATTCAGTTCTATGAGCCTTACCCACTGGAGTGTCTGACTGATCAGCAGTCCTCCCAGCTGGGTCTCTTGAGCCCGGAACCAAACAAGCCGCCCGCCTCCAAGACTACGCCGCCCGCCTCCAACAGCCCTGCTACTCCACGCTCTGTCTACACCAACAAGTGCATCTGTCTGCTCTCGCACTGGCCCTTCTTTGACGCTTTCCGCAAGTTCCTCACATTCCTCTATCGCTACTCCATCTCAGGCCCTCACGCCCTGCCCATCGAGAAGTGAGTTCTCTTCTTTTGATATCTTTATTTTGACCGATGTTCTTCTCTAAGTCTTTGAAATCTTCATTCACTGAAGTGTTATCAACCGTTGGGATGATTGTTGTTTTTGTGTTTTGGTCGTCATTATCACGGTTCTCCCCTGGAGAAGTGGTTTTTGATTGGATGTTCACCTGACCTGACCAGAGGATTCATACTCTCATGTTTTTCTGTTACTACTAACTCTCACTCCTGCACAAGGGGGTTTCTGTGACAGATTATTCAGCTGCCAAATGCTGTATTATTTCTGGCCTCACATCCCCTAATTCTTCTTTCTTCTTCTTCTTCTTCTTCCCAGGCACATCTCTCATTTTATGCACAAAGTTCCCTTCCCTTCCTCCCAGAGGCCTCGCATCCTGGTTCAGGTACGTTTAGTTTTGAAGCGTAAAAAACCCTCCTGCGGTGTCTGCTGCACATAGTTCATGTTGGAAAAAATGGGTACTTATCATTTTTTTGCAGACTGCAGTGTTGTTTTCTGAAGTTGTTTAGGGTTGCCTGGGGCTGCAGTAGTTTGAGTCCTCCATTATGGATGAATATTTAAATGTTTCAGTGAAGGCATTTTGAGCTCGGCTGTTTTTTTTTTTTTTTTTTTCTAATCTCACTTCAACTTTCCACCTTTACTACAGCTCTCCCCTCACGACAGCTTGATGCTCAGCCAGCCGGTGTCTTCTCCTCTACCGCTCAGGTGAGAACAGCTGCACACAAGTGTTCCCTACTAATTGAAGCCTGAGTGCACTTTATGGATTTGCAGATCACCATGTGTCTGTTCAGATTTGAGGTCTTCACAGGTCATTACTGTGGGTCCTGGATCTGTTTGAGCATCATGTGTTCATACCTAAGTGGATTTGAGACTATCTGTTGATCACCTGTGGTGTAACTGCTTTGAAGATAAAAATAAAGATCAGATTACTGGAGCAAAAGAAGGTGAAAGGAGACATGAATAGATTTGCAGAGGCAGCGACAAACTTAGAGGTGGCAGAGCGAGAAAGATGGAAACCTAAGCTAAAAGGAAATGAATATAAAGGAGTTCCAACCAAGGGGCGTTCGTCCGTCTATTACACCTTCATGACTTCAAGACTTTAAAAAAGTAAGCTCTGGTTAGTTAGTTTATGGTGGACTTTAAGAGTTAACAGTGGCTCACATTGCAGCAACAAAACAAGCGACAATAGAAATTAGCAAAATAAGAGTACAACTTGTAGGAAGGGTAGGAAAAGTATTTTGTATTTGACTTGATGAACAGCTGCACAACGGCATGTTTTAATTTCAATTTTAACGATTTGAGATTACCCATTTAGTTTACACTGAGAGGAAGTCACAGTTCAGGATACAAACACACACAGACAACAGAGCACATGCAAACTCCACACACCGACATCAGTTACAGAGGATGACAAATCAGACTTACATTTTGTTGGTGATTATTTTTCAATATGGAGAGGCAGCAATACAATTACACAAGTTCTAAAAGCTAAACAAGGCAAACGACCCCCACAGCCCCAGTCCAGACAAAAGAGATAGATAAAGATAAAGAGATGTCAGGCACCTACAAGTAACTACAGAGACAGAAAAATCCCATAACAAATCTGGACATAAACAAAATCCATTTAAGCAAACACGAGTTGATGGGATTATTCTGATTTCCTCCTTCATCCATGATGATAAGATTTTATGTCTGAACAATATTTGGAAGCAGAAATGTGCTCAGGGGCTGGAGGAAGTTGTAAATATTTATGAATGATTTATAATAATCTTTGTTTGAATCTAACTTTGCACATTTGTGTTTTTCTCCAGTGGTGGAAGATTTTCCACGCTGCTCCAGAACCTCGGACCAGAAAATGCTGTCACGTTGTTGGTGTTTGCTGTCACAGAACACAAGATCCTGATCCACTCGTTGCGGCCTGCGGTGCTGACCAGCGTCACTGAAGCTCTGGTGTCTGTAAGTCGCTGTCTTTAAGGTCGTTTTCAGTCTAAATAGAACATGGAGTAAATTCAGAATGAGTCAAAAGTATCAACCTTATTTTAAATTTGAGCCATTTCTAAGAATATATTTAAGATAATATTGGATTAAATGACCATGTAGCCATGGTTACAACTGTCGCCTAACAGCCAGAAGGTCCCTGTTTTGAATCCCAGTTTGGCCATGAATTAAGTTAATTTCACTCGGAAATTTAGATTATTTTTTTTTTCATCCTAAATGGATCAAATCATCTCAAACTCAGTCAACTTTTAATTTGAAGGCAGCTCGGACAGTAACTGTTTTAGTGTGCTGCGTCTTCCTCAGTGGCAGACGCAGTGTGTTGAAACGTGAGTCCTTTTCACCAAAATGAATTTGCCTGAAGTGATTTGTTTGCTCCAGGACTTTCTTTGACTCCTGCTTGAAAGAAGGAGTCCACTGAATTATAATTTGAATGTCTAAGGTTCTTCTCTGAGAGCACCCACCTCCATTTGAGGTGCGGCTGAAGCACAAGAGTTTCCTCATTCTTTACTGATTTAGGTTCAAGCAGCTAGTCTTTTTTTACAGTATGATCAGGGTTGTGACACATCTCCAAACATTATTATGTCGATGTCCTGGTCTTCATGCTGAGATCCTCTACTTTGAGTTTGGAATTATATGTTTCTTTCTTTCTACATTTCATTTCATATTTTTTTAATAATGTCTAACATGTCTCTAATCGTCACTGCATTCGTCTTACAGTCGTCATTTGTTGAGGGGAAAACAAATTGGTTCAACTTTAGTGGGAAGGCAATACAAGTTGTTGACCGAATTTCTTCTTCAATGAATTACCTTTTTACCATCAGGAAGTGTGTTTTTTTTTTTCCGACTGTCTGCGTAAATGTGCTACTGGAGAATATGATTACCTTTCTTTACAATCATCTGACTGTATCTGCCTTCCTGTCATTCCTCAGATGATTTTCCCGTTCCACTGGCCGTGCCCGTACATCCCTCTGTGCCCGCTGGCGTTAGCCGACGTCTTGAGCGCCCCCTGTCCGTTCATCGTCGGAGTGGACTCCCGCTACTTTGATCTTTACGACCCCCCACCTGACGTGAGCTGTGTGGACCTGGACACAAACACCATCTTCCAGTGAGCACAAAACCCCCAAAAAAACCTTCCAATAACTTTTGCAGAATTTGATCTTTCTTCACTCTGTCGGATAAATATTGTATGGCGTGTGTGTGTGTGTGGTCGGTGAACCACACATATCCTGTGCAGCACTTCAACCTAAGAGCTCCACATTGTTTCTTTTGTTAGTCTTTTTTTCCTAAACCACATTACTGCCCGGTCATGAGTTATAAGTTTAGAGACCTGGCGCCCGGGTGGAAATGGTTATTTATGTAGTGTCAGACTCATTTTAAAAAAGAACAGAATGCATTTTTGTGGTGTTTCAGGTATGGTTAGAATATTTCCTCAAATCATTTCTGGGCTCAAATAAGCGACCAGGCCGTGTCAGGGTGGTCCTAACCCCCCTGGCCCGGCTGCTGTCCATGTTGGTTTTGGCCTCTCTGAGCCTCTCCAGAGCTCACGGTGTATTTCTGCTTTTCTAGCAATGAAGATAAGCGAGCCCTCACATGGAAGATCCTGCCAAAGAAAGCCTGTAAAAACCTCATGAATGTGCTGAGCAGTCTCTACCAGCAGCTGGTTGACGGTGAGTTCTGAGCTGCTGAATAAAGTACAACAAAGGTTTTTTTTTTAAAATGTGTTAAGTTTGTTTTGTGTTTCATGTTCAGACCTGCATGTACGATGCATTACATTCATAGCTAACTTGACCATTAAGTGCTTTTATTAACTTGTTAAATAGTTGGGGCTGACGCTTTCTGACAAACTGAAGTTCATTCACATCTGCACAATGAAATGAAAAAGTATTGAAGTTATAATGTTGGAAAGGTTTGGTTGCGGCTGAATGTTTTTGTTTTTTTTAAGATTGTTTGGTAATGAACTCAAAAAAAAAGTCACATCATCATGATCTTAAGTTGATTTTTGACAAATTATTCAAAAACTAACATTTCCTCTGACTATGATTTATATTACAGTCATTATAAGTGTTAAGAAACAAACTATGTTTCGATGTTTGATAATGGTCAGCTATAGTTTGAGAAAATTCAAAATTCACTGTTATTTGTTTGAAACCAAACATTGGTACTGTATCACCTAAACTGTTGATGTTGCTTCTTTTCCCACAGAATTTCGGCTTTTATTGTTTTAAGTATGTGTTTTAAACGTAAATTTTTTGGGGCTTTTTTCCCCCTTCATTTAGAGATAGGACAGTAGATAGAGTCAGAAACCTGAGAGAGAGAGTGTGGGAAATGCCATGTCAGTACATGGAGGCATGACCTAACTGCTAGGCTGTCAACACCCTGTACCCATCACCTCTGTCGGTTTCAGGTAGTCAGGCGATCTCAACACCAACCACAAGGCTACCGGCGCTCGCTCTGCCCTTTGTTCTAATCAAAAATGAAAGCTTATTTGTAGCTGATTAAGGTCCTCAAAGAGTTTGTTACACTTCATTCATCATATTTAATCTTGGACTCTATTGTCTTCTGATTATTCCCCATTCACTCTGTAATGTTCTCCTGTCTATTTAGCTAATTGAAAGCCCGCAGTAATCCAGTTTACATCATAACAGTTTCCTAATTACCCCTCTGGTCGTCTCTGTTGCTCATTGTTTTGTTGTCAACTCTCCCCGCTACTCGTGGAGGCTCTCCTTGGAACCTGCCGTTTATTGAGCTGTAGAAATGAAATGGATTTTCTGATTCAGTGAAGTTGAAAATCTTCCCAGTTTCTGCCAGAAGTGCTGAATATTGATGTGACAGCCTGAGGTTTGAGTCGAGACATCGAAGCCCGATGACTGTTTGGAAACTTGGATATCAACTTGTGTTTATTTTTCCTAATTATGTAACGTCTAATCCTCGTTTGCAATACCAATACTTTAAAGTGATACTGAAGGCAGTGCAGTGGTGTGAGACTTCTACTGCATATCTTATAATCACCTTAAATGTCTTCATCAAAATGCAAAATGTGAAACTTTAAAGGCGGCGGCCTCAGTTTGAAGTTGTGATTCAAACTTCATGTTCTTATGAACACAGATTTAAATTCAAGTTGCAGCGACAGATGCTGATATCATTTTCTGGACTGCAGCTTTGATCAGCCCTTCAAACATTACTGTTACTGACTTTGCGAGTGCATGATTAAGTTTTGCACAAAGTTGTTTGAAATAGTTGCTTTCACACTTGCACAAAACTCCTGAAGTTTTCTGGGTGAGCTGCATGTTTGAATCTGAATTTTCTCTCAGACTTTATCCGGGAAGTTTCTCCTGCAGGCCTCCTAGTATGTTTTCTGCAGAAAGTCAGAGTGAGCTGAGAACGCAGCAGGATATAAAAAGGAGAATTCGAGTGGTGACGTTTATTCCCTGCGATCGGTGCACAACCATAGATTGTATGACAGTTTCGATCTCCGTGCACATCATTAAACGGCTGCTTTAAGTTTTCGGTTCTCCAGTTTGTTCTCCTCTGCTCTTTTGTCGATGTTGTGATTCTGTGATATGAAGACAAATATTCTCCTAATAGAGTTGTTATGCGGACTCTTTTGCCACCTCCGCGTTGTTCTTTTTACGTCGTGTTTTGCCTCAAGAGACCCTCAGCCTCCCCTCAGACCGGGAAAGTCTCCCCTCTATGAGGTGCATGTGTGAACAGCTAGATCTGGAGGATTTCAGGGGGGAGTCCTTCTGAATTTCTCAAGACATTTTCAGGAGTGTATGTGTGAGAAAAGCTAAAGTTGGAGTTTTCTCGTGTGTCACTTTGTCAATATGAAAGTGTTTGTACTTTAACTCCAGATGGATGAGAACCCAAAGAGCCTTTTTTGGCTGCATCGTGGATTTGCTCCTCCGTTGGACTATTGGACATTCAGCTCACTTGACGGGGTTGGAAATGAACTTTTTCGGCTACCTTCCACTGCGACTGGTTGATTCAAAAATCACTCGTTTTTTTTTACCGTCCAGTTTATTTTAAGCGACTGCAAAATGTTAAATATTATAATCAAGGTTTACAGTATTCAAGCACAAGGCTGTCAAAGAAAATACTGACATTAGGAGGAGGCGGGGCTCTGGGAGCGTGCAAGACCACCTGTCTCTGCTCAAAGTCGGATCGGAGGATGCAGCTCAATTTACGTTGTTTCCTCTCCCAAATCACTCTGATACATTACTTTTATTTACCGGCCACGTTGGTGACGGGTGCTTATTTCCAACCCTGTTGCTAAAACTGCTTTTTCTTCAGCTAGTTAAAGAAACCAGCGGGACCCAAAGCTTAAAATGTATACTTTGTACTTAATGTGCTGCAGTATAATGTTGCATCACAGTAAATCATATGTGCTCATGGCACTGATGACGACATCTCTGAGATTCATCTGAATATTATAAAATCAAAACAACATAAAACCTTTTCTGGAAGAAGTGTAGAGAATGGTTACACGTTTGAGCACTTCAGCATCGAGCAGAACAGCTCTCGATGTGCAGAGAGTCCTGAGGTAAAGTGTGCAGCTAAAGCAAACTGTTATCATATCTGACAGGACAATCAATACAGGGTTGTTAGCCAGGGAGATTGTTTTAGATAAAACACGACAAGTTAAAATAATCAACTTTAAACAAGTTTTGCTTCGTATGAGAACAGCAGCAAGAAAAGAAAAAAAGCAGATGCACAACAAATATAAAATCACAGCAGTCCATGTGCAACGGAGAACCAGAGGAGTTACAACATTTATCAGAAACATCACAGACGGGTTCAAAAATAAACCGACACCTCTAACTGTGACTAACTGTGTCACCGTTTGGTCACAATATTTCACTTTTACTGCACAACGTACAGCCATATGCTCGTTTATAACTGGTGCTGTGTCTCCTCTGTGTTCAGGTCAGTGCCGGCCTGATGGGCTGCTGGAGCTGAACATGAGTGACAGCTCGGAGCTGAGCTGTGGAAAAAGCCTCCACACGCTGGAGCTGGAGATCCAGGAAGCCTTCCTGCGCTTCATGGCAGCCATTTTGAAAGGATACCGTTCATTCCTGCGACCGATCACCCAGGCGCCCTCCGAGAAAGCCACGGACGCCAGCTCGCTCTTCGACTTGCAAGGTGTGAGAATCGATGTCACTCTGACCTCTTGGAGAGAAAATACTAAAAGTTTTTGTCCTCGTACAGATTGTCAGAGCCAGACGGTCAGGTCAGAGTCACACAGGAAACATGAATCCAGCTGTTTTAGTCCCCAGCAGCCTCCTCAAACTCCTCACACATGAACCAAAACAAGACAACTTTTCACAACAGTGTCTCGAGCCAAATTCTTCTCTGAAAGAAATGTATCCGGACAATGATTCCCACCGACGTGTTTACTCAGTCACAGATGGTTGAAGCTTTTCTGTCTTAAAATCGTTAATCTGAACGTTGACTGTCGTGTGTGAGACGAGGAAGTCCAACAGCAACTCGTGACAGAGATAAACATGTAATGAGTCTTTGGTATTGCTTTACTGGGCTTTCTGGTAAATAAACAGAAAGAAACACACAATCACTGCAGTTTTCAGAGAATGGACAAGTCAACAAGCATGATTTAAAAAGCTTTTTAAGTATTCATTTAAACAGAATGTAATCAGAGGAAGCATTGCAAACCAATAATGGATAATCAGCACCTGTATCTGATGGGACTTTGTTGGCATGGGACTTCTTTCTAGTGTTGTACTTACTCTCAGATGTTCATCACTTTGGACAAAAACATCTGCTAAATGAAATGTAAAATTGGAGGATAGAAAAAAAAGCTCCTAAAAGGATCTTGAGTTAAGTTTTTTTGTTACATTATTATTGCCAACATCAAGACGATAGACTCTACCACTGAGCCGCAGCTGCCACAGCCGCGCCCACGCTTTTAGTCTTTTATTTTTTTTTTTACAAACATCTGTCCTGTGTCATGTGCAGTCAGTTCCATTGATCATATATCAGTCCAAGTTTTATGAACCAGGAACCAGAATGTTTTTCAAACAGCTGACGAGGGCTTGATTTTAAAAAGTGAAAAGATGAAGAGGGGGAAATCAAGACAACTAAGATTAGCTGTTTCAAATGAGCACAAAAAACTCTTGAAAACGGAAACATTTCCCTCCCCGATGTGTGTGAACACAGCAGGTAAATATTCTGGGAAATTCAAAACGAGCTGTGATGACGTTTATATCCCAGCATGTGACTGGTGCAATCTCCTTGCACGCGATGAAGCTTCCTCATGTTTTTCTGTCTGCCAGTATGCTCTCTTCCACTCTTCTGTTGATACGATGAATATGTCAAACTGACTTGGAGATATTGAATCTCCAGAAAAACAGCGAAGGAGAGGGGCAGGATCATAAATATAGCAAACATCGAATGCTAGCCTGCACTCAAAAGGTATTTTTCTTAAGGCAAAATAAATTTGATAAAATGTTCTTGAATGCAAATTAAAAAAATATCCATATAATTTAGAAAAAAACCTTTTTCCTAGCAGTGATAAGTTTGATAACAAAGCATCCTTTTTTATTATAATGGAGGCAGATACTCTCATATGTGGGACAATGAATTAAACACAAACGAAAAAATACAAACAAAAGAGACATCAATGTTTATTTAGGTTTAATGGAAACTTAAAAAAGATGATCGCAGCAGACACTATGGAGTCATGAAACAGATTTGAAACAGAAGGCTGGTACAGCAGACTGTCATCCAAAAAAGTTTAGCTTCACTTCTTCATGATTATTCAGCTTGAAGCCAGTTTGACTCGTGCTTGTAACGGTGCATGATTACCACTAATGCATCTATGAATATATAAACTAATACTGCGTCATCTGTAGCGCCTTCCCCTCTACAGCTGGCCGGCCTCAAAAACAGATGGTGTTGTTTAAAACATGAGTCTTCATAAGTGTCCATCGCTGCCTCAGAGTAAACACGCACACACATAAACGCACGCTGTTTGGGTTAGGAAGGCCGTGGTTTTTGAAGGAGCTGAGGTCTGAGGTTCACGGCTGTTTGCAGACTGAAGGGTACTCGGAGGCTCGAGCGTGGCCTCTGGACCGGAGCCCAGAGAAAGCTGGTTCGCATCACATCTGAAAGGAGTTAAGCTGAAATCATGGCCGCTCTTCTGGGGGAGGCGCTGCAGCCAAGGTCGTGTCCAGAGTGTTATATGATATAGCTGCAGTACATCATGTTGTGATGTAACAGCTCGTGCATCATGAGTGTCTACACAGCCATTATCCATAACGCAAGAAAAATTAGACTCATAATGTGACCACAGGGAATATCATTTTTATGTTTCCCTGCTGCTCTCTAAAAAATAAACTCACTCTTTCCTCCATTAAAAGATTATAATTCTTTTAGTCCAATATCTGTGACTTCACCAGAATGTCAGGCAGATTACGTCTGAATTCCTTTTTTCCTCTGAGACTTTGAAAGCATATGATAAACAAACACACACAGATATTAAAGGCAGCGTTGGTCATTTTCTCCAGAAACACTTTTTTAAGATTCTGGTTGAAATTGTCTTTAGGTCCTGACAGACATTAATAACTCAGGTGCTCTGAAGAAGGAATGAAGAAAATCCGTCATCTGTAGCAGTTGTAAGCGTGAAAGAACTTTGACCAATGTCTGCCACGAGGTACCAATCTGATGAACCAATCACATGCCTCCCTGCTTGTTCTCAAACCCTTGCGTGCACTAGCCCACACTCAACAATGTGAGTTTACTTACTGCTGAATGAGACATGAGATGACGTAGTTTCTACACAATGCAAGCGATGAGCTGAGGTCTGCTTCTGGACCAACGAAGCTCGTGCTTGTAAGTGAGGGGGCGTGGCTTTTGAGGGAGCACAGAGGGGAGGGGGCGGGTGCATACGGAGCACCGAGGGAATGTTACTTTAGAAATCCTGCTAGTTTTCAAAAATTACCAACCCTGCCTTTAAAGGCTTTTGCTTTAAACACTCTGCATTGGTTTGGTTTTCAACGATCAATCTTTGTGTTATTAGCTGCTGTTTGGTAACACTTGATGTTTTTAAACCTTGATGTTTACATTTCAACACTCACATACATACTGGCTTAAAGGTTCAGTTTCAAAGTCCAATCTGTTTCTGCTCACAAAATCATTTTACCCTCAAGAGTGCTGCAGCAGCATCTGAACAGAGAGGGCTGATTTACCAAACTCAGAAGATCTGTGCTGTATTACACAGCAGGCCTGTGCTCGAAAAATCCATATGGCAATACATGTATTTACAAGGAACACGTGACGATATATCGATGTTACAGAATCAATATGGCTACAAAGCTGTGATGACAGTTTTAAAGGACAATTGACCCATTGTGCAGTTCACAATAACACCATAGCCATCGCTATGGGATTAAAATACTTTAATGTATTTCTATTAGGGCTGGGGATCTTCGGTTGTCTCAGGATTCGAGTAGATTTTGGTTTCGATTTTGATACTTGGCATCACAGTTCAGGATCTATTTTCAATTCAAAACGATTCTGTATTCATGATTCAAAGTCTGTCTTTGAATTAGTACATACTTCAGGATCTACTCCAGTCATCTGTGAGACTGACTGAATGTCTTGCTGCTCTATTTGTCATTCTACTGAGTTAAAGAGCTAGCATTAGCACTTAGCAGGGAGTGACTGATTAGCCAAAAAAAAAAGATTTTCAGTAGTTATGACTCGATTTGAAATCTCACAAGATAAGAATCTCAATTTTTACACCAAACAATTTTTTTCCCCACCTGTAGTTTTAAATTGTAGGATCCTTAAAATGCCACTGCTGTTATTCTCAACAATAAAGAACAGCTGTTGTAGTGAATTCTGTGTAGGACTGTGGTCATTATCCAAAATCAATGCATATCACAATATGTATCGTATCGTGGGGTTGTGGGGAATACCCAGCCCTATGACACAGTCACTTCCTGTTGGCCGTCTGCTGTATTCTGTCGTTTAGTTCTCAGAGTATTGAAAGGTTCAAATATATATCAGTATACAAATGTTACCAGAGTCCCAACCACAGCTACAGTGTGCTTCTGTGGGGGAAACACTGATTGATGTAAACCGCTTCTTGATTCATCAGCAGAAGCATGAAACAACCTGCGGCGGTAATTCTACTTTGACTGGACCGTAAATCTGAGTTGAACTAAATAATGGATTTACTGAGCAGAGTTTTGATCAGAGTTGATTGACGCGCAGCTCGCTCAAGACAGTGTTGGGTATTTCTTAGCTTCAGGACGTGTTTGTCTCATTTCAAGTCAGTGTTTGGCTTCAGCTTCTACACCGTGAGCCAGTGGTCATCCATCTGGCTGTCAGTCTCTCGACAGCCGTGAATTATAAGGCAGTTAAGCTGCTTTCAGCATCTATTAAGGAAGATATTCACCATCTTGGTGGACAAATAGGCCATTAGGGTTAATAACAATGTGTTTGCTTACATTATCCAAACAAAGACAGATGGATGTTATATACATCAAACCCTCTGAGGGGTAATAGATTTCCTTAACACAAAATCACACACACTTGGAAAATGTCGGTGAATTGCCCTTGAGGATGATTGCTTCTTTTCACAGAGATAAAGTTATTAATACACTTGCCGCTCTGTGTGAAATAATCTGATTCACTCCTTTCATTAGACGAGAAAATGTGTAGGAATAAAAAAACACATTCTATGGGCGGCTGTAGCTCAGTGGGAGAGTCAGTTCTCTCTAAACAGGAAGGTACATTTAACCCCAAGCTGCACTTTACATAGCAGCCAGTGTGTGAATGTGTAGGTGTGACCTGCAGTGTAAGAGCGCTTTGAGTAGTCAGAAGACGAGAAAAGCGCTATACAAGCTCAAGTCCATTTAACATTTGCTGTTCCATTTCTCTTTTGTCATGTTACGGCCTCATCAACAAGAACAATTCGATCAATACTCACAAACAAAGGAGACCAGAACATACAGGACGCCACAGATATAACGTTTTTGACCCTGAGCTTTAATTGCCTGTAAATAACCGCACCAGAAATAATCACAGGTAAATAATGAAACGAATGAAACAAAAGGGACTGGAGACCAAAAAGAAAGGAAGATGGGAAGACGCCGAGCCAACCTCACAATTAGGACTGGTAATCTTTAGGTCTCTCACGATTCGATTGAGAATCTATTTTCGATTCAAAAGGTTTCTGGATTCATGGATTCAAAGTCTATTTTTGAATTAATACACACTTCAGCATCTACTCCAGTCGTCTGTGAGACTGACTGAATTTCTTGCTGCCCCATTTGTCATTCTACTGAGTTAAAGAGCTAGCATTAGCACTTTACTGACTGATTAGCCCAACAAAAAAATATTTTTGGAAGTTATGAATCTATTTGAAATCTCAGAGAAGATAATAACTCGCAATGGGCCGTCGCTCTCTGCACCTCCCTTTAAAACTACATAAGAAGAAAAAGACTTACCTACAGAGAACAAAAAAGAGCAAAAATAGGACGACTGCGTATCTGCAAACTAAAACACCCAACAATCTAAACGTGCATGAGCACTGAAAGTCAATACCCGATTGGGTAAAAGGAGAAAACACAGGAGAGCAAAGAGCTCTTCACCTTCTGCCCAGAGAGTGTGGAAGGTTGTTTAAAGGTGTATTTCTACATCTGTTCATTTTCATTGCAGGGCTGAAAGAACAGCATTTTCTCTTTTTCATGCACATACTGTAAACGAGGAAAATAAACTGAATCTTCAATCTGGTAAAAAATTAAAATTGTGCTGATAAATACCCAGACGTAACGATTGTTTGAACTAGCTTACCAAAACTCTTTTTTTATTTGTCCTTAGGTTTCTTGAAGAGCCGCGACCGCTCACATCAGAAGTTTTACTCCCTGATGACCAAAACTCAGATGTTCATCCGCTTTATTGAGGAGTGCTCCTTCGTCAGCGACAAGGACGCCAGTCTGGCCTTCTTCGACGACTGTGTGGACAAGGTAACTTTGCTTCTTCATCAAAGAAATAACATGTAGATATTTTTTAATTCATGTTGGTGAAGTGGATATAAACTTCCCAAACAACAAATGTAAAAAACATGAAAAGTTTTACCCTTTCCTCTTGGGCCATTTTTGTTCGTTCGACATTTCTCCGTCTTTTGAAGTTGTTCTATTTTTGTTGCCCGGCCTCTTTGTGCTCCACTTAACTCAGAATCATAAGTTTTTACCGTCCTGCGTTGCTTCACTTTTCTTCAGCAGACTCGCTCCTCCTCTCTCTGATTCCCATTTCCTGAGTGTTTCTTTCTCTTTCCCTTTTCTTCACCTGTTTGTGAGCAGCTCTACAATTCAGAACGGAGTTCAGACAAAGCAGGCAAGGTGAGTTGGACTCCTCTCCGAGCATGGTGCATCGTTTCTGATAAAAACTAAACCAAACTGTAACGGCATGTGAGAATTTCTGGTATCATTGAAACTCTAACATGAAACCAAAAATATGTAAAATGTTGGTTATAGTAAACTTTATCCAGGGGAAACTGTAGTGCCCAGTTTGTGCATGTTTTACGTCTTGAACCTTGGTGTTGTTTTCGACCAACATTTGAACTTTGACAAGTTCACATATTATGTAAACTACACTTCACCATGTTCCTCTAACACTAATATGTGTCCCTAGTCTGTCTACAAACCCCCCAATAATGAGAAAAGTCCATCCTCTCCGTCTTTTGCCTGCTCCACTTTTCAGAAAATGTGTGCTCAAACAGGCTGTTTAGAGATTTTCCCTTTGTGACATCACAAAGGGCAGTAACCCTTCCCCCAGGTGGGTGACACTCCCACAGCTAGGTGTTTGTTCTGCCCTCTGAGTCTGCCTTCTCAACATAAACAATAGGACATGCAGCGAGAAAGACCGAGCCACCCAAGCCCTTCCAGAGAGGGGGCGTGGTCAGACACAGCTCATTAACATTTAAAGGTACAGACACAGAAACAGCCTGTTCTGAGCAGGGCTGAAATCAAGGGGTTTATAGACATGATCAAATACAGGATCAGAGTGGATTTAGAACAAGACACTTCACACACATGTTTTGAGGAGCTCTGAGACATATTTAAACTGGTTGAAGAGGAGGAGAAAGTGTGACTTTAAGAAACATTGTGAATATCTCCTTTAATCTTTCCTTTCATGTTATTTCTCCTCCCACAGATCAGAATATAATTAAAATAAGTTCCCCTGATCCAACACTTGTATCGCCTTCCTTGAATCTTTCCATTTTTAATGAACATCAGAATATTCACTCTCCACATCAAATCTGCAGCATCAGCAGTTTGTCCTCCGATAGTGAAAGTACATGTTCATAGAAAGTCCAGGCACACAGTTTCCCGCACTCAATTTTTCATGACTTGGGCGAGTAAGGGCTTTTAGCGCTTCAGTGATTCCTGAAGCGCTAACGGTGCTTAGAGTTGTTGTTTTTCAAATCCCCTGAGCTCATTCCCTCCAGTGTGACAGTATGAAGAGCTTTGGCGAGGCTGTCAGTGTGTCTTCTGTGCTCAGCTGGGAGAGTTTAGAGTAGTTTGACCCCGCAGGCTCACAGCGTAGAGTTTCTCAATCACACTGTTTGTGAGTTGAAGGTTACATTTTGTGTTTGCTCTCTTGAAGTCCATCGGACACTCGGCTCTCTGCTCGCGTCTGCGGGTCATTTGTAACAGACTCTGTAATAGACTTGGCTGTCCTTGGATTACCGGTGTATGTGTGTGTGTATGTGTGTGTGTTCTGGCTATAATTGAGACATAGTGGAAGTGAATCCAGAGGTCAGCATCCCCCCCTCTCTCCTAATGTTCTCGGACCTGAAGCATGGCCGGCTCTCCTCAACCTCCCTTTGTGACAACTCCACGGCCGATTAAATCCTCCGGCTGCCTTTCTGTACTGTTTCTGTTTTACATGATCTACTCCCTCTGCGAGAAAGCACAGTGCACCAATGAGGCCACACACACACACACACACAATGTTCGGAAAGATAAGGTTCAAACGTATCGATCCCTGAGGGAAAGTAGTTCATGGCTGCAACAAAAGCAATTAAATCCAGCAGGGAAGAAACACAAACGACTATCTTATCATGCAAATGAAATGTAATTACATCCATTTAAAACCATAACAATACAAACAGGAAGTGGACAATTTGAATAGAACAATGGTGTGATTTTTAAAGTGAGTCGAGACCATGAATACAAGGGCAAATCAGTCATTTTATAAGAGATATCTTTACCTTTATTTCTGATACTCGTGTCACTATATAAGGCCATTTATTTATCAGTGTTCATGAGTTCACTGGCAAATGTCTCTATGCAAAAAGTCACACCTAAATTAAACTTACAGGGTGAGTTATGAAGATCATTGTCATGACATTAAAGTCATTAATGGAGATTTGACTGTGCTGTATCTGCACTGCATTTTAAATAGGTCTTTGGTAGGGATGTAAAGATTAAACGTAAGATTGTGATAAATGGATTAAAAGGTGTCAAGATTCACATTTTCACATCGCATTTTGGCTTTTTCTAGACATAAAATTAAAGAGGTGAGAAGATAACAGACGAGACAAAAACTGTGTACAAATATTACAAGAAGACAGAGAACTACACAAAGAGCACAACCATCATGATGCAGCATTTAATCCACACCACAATGAGGAGCTCCAATCATCTCCCCTTGTAGAGAGAAAAGAAACATTAGAAGGCCAAACCACACTGACAAGCAGGTTTACAGCCCCTTAAGGAGTCTTTTTCACTCGTCGTTTGTCTACAGTCTCACTTTGTAAAATAAATCTTGAGTGAATTTTTACATCCCTAGTCTTTTGAGGATTGGTTCCCTTTTGGATCCAGGTTATGGTTTTCTGGCACAACTCCCCCAAAGGCTTGAGGAGGTCAAAAAAAGCTCCAGCAACACTTGTTTATATGAAGATCAACTTTAACGCTTTTAGGCTTGAGGGCTTCAAGCTCTGATGAAGGCCACGAGTTGAAGTAATATCTTTACGACAAGTGTTTGTGGATTTTTGACCTCTTCCCCTTTGGATGATCCAGCACTTTGCATTTTTTTGGACTACGCCTTTGGAGTTAGGTGTCATGAGCTGTGTAATTCCTTAGCTGGGATAGGTGAGGGCTTTAAAGGTGTACGTTTGGGGAGTTTGTCAAAGTATTCCTTTAGTAGATTGTGTTTGTTGGAAGCAATCAAAAGGGACTCTGATTATTTAAAAGTAAACATGAAATTCCAGCTGTTTACGGTATTAAATGGTTTGTGTTAATCTGCAGACTGAATCTTGTCTTGTCTTGCACACTCTGCCTCTTGGAAAGCTCAGCATGTGATCCGGAGAGTGGGGGGGGGGGACAAACCTATGAGACAAACGAGATGTTCTTGCCTCAGCTGTCTGAGTATTGTTTTCTGTTGTCTGAGCCGACAGCAGACCTGCTCATCAGACAGATTTCTACAACAACATCATCACAGCTGTCTCGGGTCTCTGAGGAGCGACCGTGTGTGTTGGCTCACATTAAAAAGTCCTTGTTTCAAACAAATGTGGATAAATAAGATAATAGCTGTGATTTGTAGGATTGAAAAACTCTCACTTATTAAAATGCTAACGTCTGCAGTATATTGGAATTATTTTGAGAAGGTGGTTTTTAAATAATAGAAGAAAACAACAGGATAACAGAATAATAACTTTGTATCATTTGTGGTCCTTAAAACGATAATATAATTCAGGTGAACAGGTGACATCCTACTTCCCCTAATGACTGTAAATATGTACCACATATCATCATGAATGAGGTCACCATAACTCAGAGTAGGTTGTCGCAAAAAGTAACCCGCAAATGTAAGTATTTTTATTTAACCAAGAAAGAGCAGCAGCACAATTAACATAGTTTCAAACAAACAACGAGCAGCCACACACACAAATCCCTTTACATTATTAGACATTATAAGACAGTAATTGCAAATTTAGGCCGCATGTCAAGATCGTCCACACACACATCAGGGAGAACATCTACAGACAGATGCCTCCGCCTCCCAGTCCTTTGAGAGATGGGCAGTGGTAGAGGGACGACACAGTCCGATGGTTGTGTCTGGGTGTCAGGGGCGATGGGTGGTACTGGTAGTGCACGATCACCTCGCTGTAGGTTGAGGGAACTGTGTCTACTCAAGAGTCCGGCTTCTGCTACAGGGCCAAGGCTGCATTCGCTTTGTATGTATCTCCTTGTGGAGGCTTCGTTATCAGTTCCCCAAATCACCTCAGCTAGCTTTTTTGACAAAATAAAAGTGCAGTGGTTCTTGTCTGATGTCTCTCCAGATACCTGAGCGTACACAGTTCTTCTGTTTTGGTTTAATCAGTACTCAGAGAAACATCACACAGCATTATGTTCCCCTTTGATGTTCTGCCTTACACGGAGGAGAATAATGAAAGTTTAATGCTCGGACCAAGAGGCTTTGGACTCCACCAAAGTAGAGACACTTCAGTCTCTCCCGCTGAACGGCTTCACCTTTAATTACTATCACAGTGACGAGCCTAAACTATGAACTGTCATTAAGTGCTTCACTTCCCCTCCCTCCAGCAGGAATAAAAACCGTCCTTTTTCAGCACTAAAACCTGTCATTAAGCACCTCTCAATTTATGACCTCTCTGTGACCCTAAATTCTTTATATCCACTAAAAAATCTCAACGCTCAAAGCTCCTGCTTTAAGAGGCACTATCAGTCAGCTCTGCCAACAAGGCTGCAGTAAAATATGTGAAGTAAGTCCAAATGTCAGCGATGAAATGTATAGCTATCATCCATTGTGCTCGCTGCATTTTAGCTGCCACTTAAATGTTTTTCTGGCACCCTTTTAATAACATAGTCTGGATAAGTGGGTTAAGAACGGAGACATTTAGGCTGCGTTCACACTGCAAGCCTTAATGATGAATTCCGATTCTTTCGCTCAGATCAGATTTTTTTGTTTGGCTGTTTACATTGTGTGGCTACACAGTGATGGTGATGGTCTCGCAGCGAGAAGGTTCCTAGTTTGAATCCCTGTCGGACAGGAGGATCCCTCTGTGTGTGGAGTTTGCATGATCTCCATGTGCATGCGTAGTTTCCCTCTGAGCACTCCGGCTTCCTCTCACAGTCCAGAGACATGCTCGTTAGGTTAATTGATGACTCCCGTAGGTTTGAATGTGAGTGTGGCTGGTTGTCTGTCTCTATATGTCAGCTCTGTGATTTTCTGGCGACCAGTGTAGGGTCGGTTGTACCCCGCCTCTCGCCCAGTGACAGCTGGGATCGACTCCCGCCCCCATGACTCTGAACGGTTAAGGCGGTATAGATAATGGATGGCTGGATATTCACATTGCTTTTTAAAAATGTGGCTTGTATCAGACTCCTGTAGGAATCCACACATGAAAGTGGCTCAAATCTGACTTTGACTTGTGCTGTTCACAAAATCCTATCTGAGTCACAAAGGAGATAAAAATCAGGCTCAGGTCTTTTGTGGCAGCAGTGTGAACGTCGCCTTAGAAACTCAGATTTACAATAATTTAATGCTCATGCTGAGTTGATTACTTTCTTGCATACTAGATATCTGCAGGAGGAGGAAAGCAAACAAATTCAAGATCTTTATTGTCATGTGCAGAACGATCACACATAAGAAGACATGGACCTGCAGTACAGTATGGATCCACCCTTTGACTCGATAAATCCTGTCTGTGCTGCTCATCTTCTCGCAGTTTTCGGGACAGTTCTGCTTCTTCTTCACTTTACGTTACTGATGTCGGTCAGAGGATTTTTTTTCATACACTTGGACACAAACAAACAGTCGCATCGAGGCAGGATTTTTGAATGTCGTTTCAGTCGATTGTCAAAGGGGTTGCTTTTGCTAGTCATAAACAGTGCTCCTGCTCATCCTGTGGAAACAGTTGAGTTGATTTCTGTGACTTTGTCCAACAATATTACTGAAGTGACACCTTGCTGGTTTGGAGAACTTTAAGGTTGCGGAGTTTGAAAATGTTAAACACCTGTGGATGATAAAATAAACACTGTCTTATGAAGAACTGCAGGATTGATTTCTTTCCTGCAGCCTGCCTCATACTTAGGAATAGAGAATAATATCTCTGCCTCTGCTGCATCCATTTTTAAAAGTTTTTTAAGTTCAAGACTTATTTTGTAGCTACCTGCAAAGTTAACTAAATTCGCTTTATTGGCTGAAATGGAAGTGCACGTTTAAACAGTTGAAACAGCGAGTTTTAAATTTAATTAAATTCAATCCAAACAACTTTATTTTTCCCCAGGGGGAATTCCCATGAGGCACATAGAGCAGTAGCATGATGAAAAAAATATAGGCAGTGAAGACAGTGCAAGGTAGACTAAAAAATATAAACTTAAAATTAAATACAAAAATTAAAATGAAAGATGGTTCGTGTAAAAATATGGATTCATAGTATAGTTTCAGCTCCGAGTGTGCGCTGGCTGCAGAGTGAAAAAAGATTAAAAAGAAAGAAGAAGGGAGGCTGGTTCACTCGGGAAATCTAGGTCACCTCCTGTCAGCTTCCCTCCGATCTCTCTTCCTTTTATTCTGTAGAAAACATGCAATCAGGTCGACTGCCACAAAGCCGTTTAGTGGAATAAACCTTATTTAAAGGTGAATCAGCAGACCAGAAACCCTCCCATGCCAACACTGACATATTTATCACAGGGCACGATGTCAAGATCTGTGTTCAAATTCTCTCCTGTCTGATGGGAGACTCCCCATTTCCACCGTGTGTGATGGATGAAAAGGTCACCGTACCACCACCCAAACATCTCTGCTTGTGTTTTTTTCCGTAGGTGGACGGTGACAGGCCGGAGGAGGCCAGGCTGATAGAGATTGATGAATCCCAGCGCAGCGAGCACACAGTCTTCATCACACCTCCAGAGCTGCCTCCTCTGCCCGACGGGGAGGAGTATCCTCTCTGCTACAGGTAAAACCGGTGACACTGACTTTTCCTCTCACACGGGGGAATTCATTGGAAACCATCAACACTAATTTGACAACCAAACTAAAAACATTCTGCCGGAAAAAAAACCTTAAAGAGGACATATTATCCCCCTTTTCCACCTTTTCAAACAGTCCCTTGTGGTCTAAATGAAACACCTGTGCTGTGCTTTGGTCAAAATATAACATGAATCAAGTACCAGAGGAGGTTTGTGACCCTGTATAAACCAGCTCTCTCAGAACGCTCCGTGTTGGTGTGTGTGTCTCTTTAAATCCAATGAGCCCCCCCCCCTGAGTTTTCATGGTAGACATCACTCCTCTGTAGCGAGAATAAAAATGGCAGACCTGTGCAAAAGTTTTGCTCTAGGCGTTTTGCTCTAGGCGTGTAATCTCTGGAGCCTATGGGTGGAGATAACAGGGGAGGGGAGTTTTTTTTTTTTAACCAGAATCCCACTGTGACATCACAAGGAGAGCAAATTTGAAACAGAGCATTTTTCTCTGTGTTGTAAGACTTATGCAGACCACAAACAAAGGACTGGATGGGTTTATTTCACATGTTGTGGGTCAGTAGACACTCAGGTTACCCAAATAAATGTTCAAAAACACTGTACTAGTGGATTTTTCATAATATGTCCCCGTTTAAATTAAATCCTTCCACTTTACCGCCCAGATACAAGAGACTCGCAGCACATCAGAGTTGCAGATAAGAGCACGAACAAAATTAGAAAGTCTGAATTATACATTGGGTTTAAAATTGGTTAATTCATACTGGGTTTCACTGATTGAGGACCAGCAGGAGTCCAGCTCCCTCACTGAGACCAAAGACTGCACAGCGCTGCAGGACTTGTGCCGCTCTGAACATGCACTTGTTCTTATTCTGCGGTCATGTTTAGCTCTAAAAGCTTCCTGCCAGGAGATATTAAAGAAACACTTAAATTAAGCCCCTCCAATAATCCATAATGACCAGCAGCCTCCGAGAGTTTTATCCCCAGCTCTCTTTTCAGATAATTACAGATCAACAGTGATGATACTTTGAACCTTGAAGGGAATCATTTCATTTTCGATATTGCTTTTCTGTTCAGCCATTGAGAGCTAAGATTAAAACCGAGTGCCTGCTGTTACTAACTTGTGAATGTGTGTTCTTTATCAGATACGACGGTTTCCCAGTGTTGAGCCTTGACCTGTTTGACCCCATGGAGGGCCTGCGGACCCCCTCCTCCCGCCTCGCTGCCAGGCAAAGCTGTCCCACCAGCCCCGCCCCCATGTTTAGACGCACCAAGCAGGTCAGCAGAGCAGTAACTCACTGCTGCCACACAATGATTTATTGATTTATCTGTTAAGGGACTGAGCTGGAGCTCTTCTCCAGGATGACTAAAAAAACAAACTGAGAGCGACAGTAATGAGGTGGATTTTCTTTCTCCAAAACATTACAATCTCCAAGAGGTCGATACCAGTTTAGATTTTCTGCTGATCCTTTAAAAAATAATCCCTTGAAATGAATTTTCAGTTTACAATTCAGCTTTCACAAAGAACTGCCTGAAGCAATCCACAAACCAAGAGAAAAAGTTTAATCTACTTTGTAATGTGGTTAGAAAACTGGTGTGTTTTTATGTATCTAGACACGTCTAATCTAAAAATGTTGATATCTGATTTGTGCTTCGGAGAACTTCTCTTCCTGATCCTCCTCTTCTTGGTCCACAGGAGATCAAATCAGCCCAGAAGATAGCCAAGAAATATTCATCCATCCCCCAGATGTGGTCCAAGTGTCTGCTGCGTCACTGCTACGGCCTGTGGTTCATCTGCCTGCCGGCATACGTGAAGGTGTGCCACTCCAAGGTGCGGGCGCTCCGCACCGCTTACGACGTCCTCAGGAAGATGCAGGCCAAGAAACTGCAGCCCCCTGATGAGGTGAATGTGCTGTACCCCCAAAAAATACATGTTTGACATTTATGCAACGAGACGCACAGTGAGGTTGGCTCGGTTAAACAGATTCAGCTGGTGAATTGAAATTAGCTTTTCCTTCTCTCACCTGGTTGTATTTTTTGGATATGTAGGCCTTTGCCTGAACAAAATCGTGTTTTTTTGGGTTGTTTTCTTTTAACAGGTTTGTTACCGGGTGCTGATGCAGCTGTGTGGACAGTACGGACAACCTGTGCTGGCAGTCAGGGTCCTGTTTGAGATGAAGAAGGCTGGAGTCCACCCCAACGCCATCACTTACGGCTACTACAACAAGGTAAGGACAGAACATTATTCTGTGTTTTTGATCAAATAGCGTGATGCAAGCCATAGGGCTGGTTAAAAAAATCGATTCATCAATGCATTTCAATTATTATTTTCCCAATTCAATATCGATTCAGAGAAACCCTGAGATCGATTTTTTGTTTACGTTGTAATGACACCACTCTCCACTGGGGGCACTGTGGTTGCTGTGAATTTAAGTCAGGCACAATTTTGCACTTTAGATCGTCCTGTACTTTCATGTTTTATTCTTTAGTATTAAAGAATAATGCAACGATAAAATACATTTTTGAGTCAGTTTGTTTAATTATTTAACAAATATAAGAAGGTACTGTGAGTAGTTATCTCGGTATTTCTCTCCCCTATGTGTAATATTGAATCGATATCGAAGCATATTGATCAATATCGAATCGAATGGATAAGGAATCGTGAGGTTGTGGACAATACCCAGCTCTAGTAAGACAGCACCCAAAATCAGAATCAGAAATACTTGATTAATCTGTGAGGGAAATTTGTAAGCAGATGTTTTTCTTATTAAATTACAACACAAGGCGTTTAAGATGCATAGTGGAATACTCTTTGGGTTTGTCCTCCTAACATTTACATCCTTGAATTTAAAGATGGATTTAATGATTTATCTAATGAGTTCCAACCCAGTGCTGTGTGTCTTACAAAACAATAATAAAAATAATATAATATAAATAATCCTTGGATGTGATTTTCCTGATGTGGGAGTGATACTCTGCTGACTTAGCTGCCAAAGTTTGAACAAACTCATGATAGCAAAATGTCAAATGAGTCTCCGGGGACGACTGGATAATCCCCCTTTTTCATCGGCTGTAATGAACGAAGAGACGAACCAAGTCAGCAATAAAAACAATAAAAGTCTGAAGAGTTGTCAGGGGGAGAAAAACAAACTGTCCTTGTTGCTCATACTGTAATGACAGGTCTCTTCAGGGAGGAGAGTATAAACTCATTATTTATTACTACAGAATGTACACGGGTGACTCAGCACATTTAAAAGAAATAAAAACAGGTTTAATGAACAATCCAGCAAACATCAGGATTGTTCAGATTGACTTTAAAATTTAAAGGAAGAATGTGCGACTTTTTGATCCTTGAGCTCCAGCATGAAACCAAAACAAACTGCAGTTTGGCGACACCTCCGCTAATCTGAAGCCTCCGCTCTCCTCCAATGACACACCTCCAACCCCTCTACACTCACATTCAAAAGAAGGAGTTATGAATTAGAACGCACCATAATTAAGCTCCATTAAGTACAAGCTTAATGGAGCTTAACGGACAAAATCGCCCTTTGCTCGAGCTGCAATCACCTGTGTCCTGCATTGTTGTGTTAGCAGGCTAATGTTAGCGCTCTTTAGTTAACTTGTAGCTTCATATTGCACAATAATTGACACTGAATGAGATGTAAACACACTTATGTGACATCCAAATAATCAGTGAGTATGTTCTTTTTATACGGAAGGCTGCGACGTCCATGTCAACACGATGTAAACACAGCCCTGACAACAACACAGCCAGCAGGACTCGAGCTTCTCACTCATTGTAGACAGTCATGACTCAGAGAGATATTTATAGAGGCGATATTTGATTTCTGCTGCATTTATGTGTAAAATATTGCACATTCTGCGTTTAATGGATACAAAACATTGGAGATAACAACACGTTTCCTGTAGTGGCTTCCTCAGGTTTGCAGCGTTTTGTATGGATTCAACTTTAAAGTCAATCTGAACCACCCTGGTGTGCGCTGGATAACCCTGATCTTTAAAACTGGCTCTTCCTGCTTTATTTTGCACACACTTTTCATCTTGGATGAATCAGCTAGCTTTTTCACAGTCCATTAATGTTGAGTTTATACTGTTTCTAACTGAAGCTCAGAAGCTCATTAAACTTTACCACAGCCTAATGTGATTATTTAAAAAGCTCCTTAGTTTAACTATTACAGTATTAAACAAAAAAAAAAAAATTCACTAGTAGAAATGATGAAGAAAAGCAGCAAACAAAAATCATTTTAGAATCTGGAAGCAGAAAATGTTTGACATTGTTGCTCCTGCATGACAGAAAGGATTCAAGTGTAATCAAACTAACGTGCAACCAGTTTGTAGAGTTTGAGTGATGATGGATAGAGTCAGGGAGTAAGAGAGAGAGAGACGTCAGAGGTCAGATTCGAACCAGGGCCCGTCAGCTTAGAGGACAACAGCCTCTGTACACAAGGCTTGTGCATTTACCACAACACTTTTTTATTGACTTACCTAACAAATCCACTGACTGTTGCACCTTGAGTGTAAAAAGAAAAGAACAGCCAAAGGTTAAACTCTGACCTTTGTGAAAATATGTCAGAAAAGTTTTTATATTCATTCTGCAGCAGACTTATTGCAGCCCAGACTCAGACTCCTGTGTAGTCATGACTTACAAAGCAGTAATAATTAATCTCATCCAATTTATTCCTCCACTGTATCGTTCAGTTTTTCCATCATTAAAATCTCTAGCTTGTCTCTTAGGAGGCAGAGACTCTTCATCAGTGTGACGCCTCTGCAGACGCTTTGCTTTCAGATAAAAAAGAAACATCGTTTGTAGTTTCCCACCAAGGTTACAATCGGGTCGTATGTGATCACCGTAACCCAGAGTCAGGATGAGTCAAAGCTCTGTTATCAGGCTCCAGCTCTCAGCCTGTCGTTCGGTTGACTGAAAGTTAGACTGAGACAGGATTTCCATCATGGCGTCTGCTGCTGATGAGCCTCCAGAGTCTCCTGGCTTCTAACATAAATATTTACAGTCGATTTTTAATGTTTTAATTTCTATGATTTGTATATTTTCCTGAGCTCTGTCTGTAAAACAGATTTGTGATCTTGATGGGACATTCTGGTCAAATAAGATAAATAAGATATCATCTCTAATTCCAGGAAAGAAGCCGAGGTATCACTGAAAGCTGCTGCTGAAGTTTTTAAATCTTAGTCAAGACAATGAAGCTTGAATAACTTTGATGATTCCCTGTAAATGGATCTGAACCCCTGATTCATCTTCACCTTTTTCTGTTTTACAAACCTGAACCTGCAGAACCCGCTCTGTGATACGGACATTACAGTAAAATCTCTAATTTCTGTACCGCTAAGAGAGGACTGGAAGGAAGGTTTCTTGTTACTTTATATGAAATCTATTAAAGAGAATACAGAAGTTAGCGTAAGACGAACTTTTACCCAAAGCTGCTGAAAACTGTAACGCCACATCAGGTTTTTATAAGCAGCTCAAGGTGAAGAAAAACAAAAACACAGCTTAAGTTTCCTCCAAGTCAGGGAATTCCTGGGATAATTATGAGTTTTTCAGAAGGTGTTTTCCCGTCTGGCAGCATTTATTAATGTTTCACATCATTTATTTTATGCCCAATTCTCGCTGTAGAAGTTGTTTTTCAGACTCGAAACATCAGTGGAAAAACAAACGGCTCAATCCTGTTGAAAAAACAAACCAAGTTGTAGCGCAGTCTGTCGGGACTTTGGTTGGGAACTGGAGGATCGCTGGTTCAAGTCCCAGTGCGGACTAAATCTGGAAGTTGGTCTAGTAGCTGGAGATGTGCACGTTCACTTCCTGAGCTCTGCTGAGGTGCCGTTGAGCAAAGCAGCTCAGGCGCGCTCGCTGTGGTCAGCCTTCACTCTGACATCTCTCCATTCGTTCATGTCCACAGGATCCTGTCTGTGCATTTCAGCGTTTATGTGTGTAGCATGTGAATTGAATTTCCCTTCATGGGATTCATGAAAAAAAGCGGCTACATGTTCAGGGAAAGTAACAATATTCTCACATCACTGAAGGAACCTACCTCTATCTCTGTTACTGCTAAAACATTTGATCGGGTTCTTCGTCATCAGTTGCCCTTTTATGCACCTTTCTATTTTTATAAATATAAAACTCTGTCTGCACTAATGAGACTGATGTGAGCGTCTTAAAGAAACCAGTTTATTAAAGGAGCAAGAAGTCAGGGTGATGACTAATCTTTTCATTAATATTAGATGTGAAACATTTTTGTCTACAGTCCCAATCAGACTGCTGTTTCAAGCTGTGTATTTACTCCTCTGTGACGTTTCCCCTTCAATCTGAGTGTTGTGGAGATCCCCCCCCCTCTGTACCGTCTTAGGAGGTAGTAACCGAAGCGTTACAGGAGGTGAGACGGCTTCAGCTGAGCCAGTTGGGGAGCACAGCGCTGTGTGTGTGTGTGTCTGCATGTCTGACTGTGTGTGTATGTGGAGCTCCTTCAACCCCGGAACACAATGTGAATTCACAATCCGGGACACCAATATTACATCATTGTAGAAAGGCGTGTGGCGCGGGTGTGGCTCAGTTGGTAGAGTTGTTGTCTCTCGATTGGAAGGTAGAGGGTCCAATCCCCAGCTCCTGCAGCAACATGTCTGATGTGTCCTTGGGCAAGACACTTAACCCTGAATTGCTCACGCTGCTTATGAATGTGTGATTGTACTCTACTGCACAAACAATAACTTCAGTTGTTCCATGTTTGAACATCATCATGTATGTTTTTTTGTTTTTTTTTCGCGCATGCACGTTGGTTAAACTGGTAATAGACATATTTTAAAAAAATATCTAAATAGTATATTTAAAGTATCTGAAAACAAACTCTAAAAGGAGCGCTGAAGCTTACAGTGTAAACGTAGCACAAGACACATTAAAACATAAAAACACCTGCATCCCCGTCTCCAGCATCGACGTGGTGTTTTGGGGACAGGTCGTTGTGCTTTAGTTGTCCGAACACCTGCAGGAGGGTATCCTCATTCCACCTGTCCCAAATCCTGAGTGCCTTCACCCCGGAGCAGCCGGTGTGATTAACAGTCCTGCTCAGTAGCATACTGATCGTGTTTTCCTCACGAGGGCTCTGAAGAGTATTTTAGGAGCAGACTGAGACTGGCTGAACGTGACTGGGCCGCCGCCGCCAACAGCTGCAGCTCCTTTTCCCTTTTTTCCCCCCTAATGTTCAATTTTCACTGCGTCTATCATCGCTGCAGTGTTAACGCTTTTGATGAAACATTCATCCAAAATGATTTTAGACGGAGAAGAGATTGGGTCAGTATTAGTGCACTCTGTTTAAAATGTGGAGTTGAAACAGAATGATTGAAGTCAGAGTCTGAAGATAACTGAGAGAGTATTTCATTTGATATTTTAAATAAAGTAGAAACTCCATAGACTTTACACTTGGAATAAAAAATGAAGTGTATAAAATATAGGATCAGGCTTTTCCACATTCTTGCCTTCAGTCTTATCTCGGTCTCTTTTCTCCTCCCCCCTCCCTCTCCTCCTCTTCTTCCTCTTCCTCCTCCTCCTCCTCGTCCTCCTCTTCTTCCTCTTCCTCCTCCTCCTCCTCGTCCTCCTCCTCTTCCTCCTCCTCCTCCTCCTCTTCTTCCTCCTCTTCTGTCTCCTCCTCCTCCTCGTCCTCCTCCTCTTCTTCCTCCTCCTCCTTCTCGTCCTCCTCTTCCTCCTCCTCCTCCTCCTTCTCTTCTTCCTCCTCCTCCTCTTCCTCCTCCTACTCTTCTTCCTCCTCCTTCTCCTCCTCTTCTTCCTCCTCTTCTTCCTCCTCCTCTTCTTCCTCCTCCCCCTCCTCCTCCTCCTCGTCCTCCTCGTCCTCCTCCTCTTCTTCCTCCTCCTCGTCCTCCTCCTAATCCTCCTCCTCGTCCTCCTCCTCTTCTTCCTCCTCCTCCTCCTCGTCCTCCTCCTCTTCCTCTTCCTCCTCCTCCTCGTCCTCCTCCTCTTCTTCTTCCTCCTCCTCCTCCTCCTCTTCCTCCTCCCCCTCCTCCTCCTCCTCCTCCCCCTCCTCCTCCTCCTCTTCCTCCTCCTCCTCCTTGTCCTCCTCCTCCCCCTCCTCCCCCTCCTCCTCCTCCAGGCGGTGTTGGAGAGTACGTGGCCCTCGAGCACCAGAGGAGGATACTTTCTGTGGATGAAGCTGAGAAATGTCGTCCTGGGCGTGGCACAGTTCAAACGGGCGCTCCGACGACACGCCCCCCTCGCTCAGAGCCCGCTCTCAGGTAACTGCGATGAAAAAAACAATCTGCACGTCTGAAAAAAAAAACCCAAAACCGGAATGATGTTGTCTTTGTGATTGTAAAGTGAATCCTGTGCATGATCCTGGGATGATGAAACCATGACATACATTTGTTCTAAACTGAACTGCATCACCTTACTTTAGGTCGAACATACAACACGTGTAAAAAAGCAGCTTCAGACCTGACACACTGGAATCAGAGTTAGAGCAAACTGGACTCGAGTTTCTCTTGATGCTCCAAACAAATAAGTCAGTGATCTGTCTTTGTGAAGCTGGGATGATTTATATTGAACCCAAAATACTTGGGAGCTAATGGCTAATTAAATAGCCGCCTCCTTTTTCCGGCTCTGAACAATCCTTGTTTAATAGGCCTTTTAAAAAAATCCACTCAGTCGACCTGACGGAGAGTCTTTATCCAAGAAGCCATTATCGTAAATGCAACATAAATAAATGATGATCAAAGCGAGCTTGATATAAACAACACAGGATCCTCACAAAAGATCACAAAAAGGATCCCCAAAAGTCACATCTGTTTAGTTCAAATCAAACTACCTTTCAGTTCTTACTTTCGCTGAGTAGTTTTTAACAAACGTCAAAGCAGGTTAAACTGCTCAACACAACAAGGTTAACATGTTTGGTTTAACTCCCCCTGCATGCCACTGAAGACCTGCACACCCTGCATATCAATCCCCGTCCTGCAAATCCCGCCTTTTTTAAAAAAATTACTCCCCAATAACTGCTTTGTACTTTGAAAAGCTCTGACCTGCGTTTGGTTTTTGATTCAGCTATAAAGAGAGGAGGTTTCTAGGTGAGCTGCCCCTGTAAAATATAAACACTCCACTTAGAGACACAAGCAACAGCTACATGTCAAGCCACTTTCTACGATGGGATAGATGACCGAATTTAAAAAGGTAACATAAAATACCTGCCTACATGGGGACTAGGCCTTAGAGCAGTGATGCTCAACCCGAGGCCCTTGAGCCACATGTGGCTGTTGTGGCTCTTTTAAGTCCGACTTGGAGAAAAAAATCCAAAAGTAATTATTACACATTTTTAATTTTAATAATAATTAATAGTTTAATTTAAAATATTTTTTTTGGTTGTGGCTCTTGCAGAAATATATTTTGGTCAATGTGGCTCTTAAGTCTAACAAGGCTGAGTATCTCTGCCTTAGAGGAAACACACAGCAGCCCTAACTCCATAAAGCCTCTCTCCTCCTGAAGCCAGCTCTGGGCTTTTAAGCTCTGAGGCCGGGTGCTCCTCGTTAGACGATCAGTAGCTTCACTCTCTGGGCGGACGAGGAGACAAACAGCACAGGGGACAACATACAGATGTAACCGTTATCTGTAGCTTATTTAAAGGACTTAATTACATTTAGATAGATTCTCTTCAAAGAACATGAGAAGGAATAAAGACTCATTTAGATACTAAATTAATTAATACTAATTAATGAATTCTTTGTTCTTGATTATTTATGGAAATGCAAAGTTTACCTGACCTGCTCTGCACTGAAATAAAGACTCCCTAAGGTGTCATATCGGTAAAGTGGAACTAAATTGTAACTGAGCGGGACCTTGTTAATCGTTTAATTAGTGCCAATTTACATCTAAATGATCCCAGGTATTTACAGCTGCACATCAGTTCCTTTCTTGTAAAAACACAGCGCCTATAAAAGTGTTACAACCTTTGTTTTAATCGTAGTGACCGGGAGTTATTCAAAATGTTTCACACTGCAGCGTTATTATTTAAAGGTTTTTAAAAGCTCCTTTATTGACACTGCAGAGGTCATGAAAACACAATAAACCGTGCAGAACGCATTCCTTGTCACCCGTTTATATAACTAATACACATATTCAGATCAACAAAAAAAAGAAGGAAAAGTTGAGCATCTTATGGAGCAGAAATGGCAGCCGGCCTCCTTTAACGCCTTGTTGTCTTTGGGCAGATGGCAGCGACCTGGACGCTGTGAGTCACGGCAGCCTGGATAGCTCTGCCGACACTAACCTGGCCGAGCAGGGCCCTGACTCCGCCAAAGTTTACCCCACTGACGATAGATCTAGCACAGGTACACTCCACATGGCTGCTGCCTGACTTCATCTTTCACAGGCAGCCATCTTGTCCTCCATCTTTTTGTCTCTCAATGACACTTTTGGTTTTTTAATACTCGTTTCTCATTTTGTCCGACTTTATCGACCTCTCGTTTTTCCTCGTTTGTGCCTCCTGAATCCTCCGTTCCTCCGCCGCCTGTTTTTTCCACTTTCCTTTCCTCCTCCCCGTTCCTCCATGTTGTCTCCTCCTGGTTTTGCGGCTGTGGTTTCTGCTCTGCTCTGTCCCTAACCCTGCCCTTCACTCTGGCCCTGCCTGTGTTGCCCTTGCATGCAGCCAGCCGTGGGGGCGGCGGCGCGGGTGCCAGGGCCCCGGTGGCCCTCTCACACTGGGGGGGCTCTGAGCTCAGAGAAGCCACCCTCCATCCAGGTAAACCTCTGTGTCTGTCCGTCTCTCTCTGGTTGCACTTCCATGTCTCATGTTTCCTGCTCTGTGATGACGTCCTTTCATCTTCTCTGTTTCTCTCTTTCTGTAATTTTCACCTCCTCACTGTGACATCTCTCCATCCGGCACATCACATATTTCTGCTCCTCTATCCCCCCCCTCCCTCTCTTTTCTTACTCGCTTCACTACAGAGTGATTTGTCTTTGTCAATTATGTCGAGTAATTACACAGAGGCACCTCATTTTTTGATTACAGAAATCATTTTAATCCCAGAGACGTCACCTCAGCAGGAGACTTTGCCTCGTGTTCAGAGAGAAGCTCAGCGGGAGGGAGGGAAGGACCTCGATGTGCTCTCCATTGATTGTTAGAGTCCTTGCATGACTTTTGTCAGTCGCTCCGTCCTGTCATACAGCCGAGCTGCGCAGACTAATGTTTTATTTAGAGGTGACGGCCACAGAGAGGTTCAGGACAAAGATGAAAGAGGAGAACAAATCACCAGACAGCTGGTGGCCTGCAGACCCCGGGAAGTTCTAGAGACAGATGGTGGTGTCAGCCTGGAGTGACAGCACCCCCACCCTCCCCTCCCCCCCCCAAAAAAACCTCAACAGTTAAATTCATTAGCAGCTGTGAAACTGTGGTTAGCTTCCTCTCTGTAACTGTAGATCTCTGCAAGCCCCGAGGAGGATTTTTGTTATTCAGCGCAGCTTAGCTGTTTTTACTCTGAAACAGTGCTGTGTCTCCCAGAACAGAGGAGATGAGAGAGAAGAAAAGCCTCACTATTCTCTTCTATTATATGTTTGATTTACGTCTCCTACTATAGTGGTAAAGTTATAGAGTCAAACTATTTTCAGTCAGAATGAGCGAAGAGGCCTAACTCATCTGAAGAGCGTTAAGTGCAACTACTTTTAGAGAAGATTTTTGGGGCGGGAAAAATGTAGATACAGCATTATATTTCCTCCTGACTCACGTGATACAGTCATTTAATCATTAGTGACAATTATAGATATTTCACTAAAACAAAAATACAGCGCACTAAACAGATTTTCCCGCCAATTTGACTCACCGTGTCACTTCTTCATGACTCTCATGGAGGTGCTTATGACATGATTAAGAGTAACATGGTCAGAAGTTAAGACAGCGGGATAATGAAGTTTAAGAATGAAGTATTATAAGAGGTGAAACTGGCACCAAATTGCAGAGAATAAATAAATGCATCCTGAACGTAACCTTTCAAGGAGCTTTTTCAGATAATGAGATATTCCATTATGTGTTTGTCTTGCAATATATCAGTTACCTCAGATTCTCTGTATTGTGATATTATCAGTATTGTGTCGCATCACGTTGTGAACTTTGATTCTCAAATCGTTTTTTTTCTGCTGAGGTTTTCTTAGTGTTTCACGTTTCTGTGATCTTGTGGTTTCTCTTAAACTTCAGTGCTCGTTACATCCCTCTAATCCGAGTTCACCTGTGTCTTTTCTTCCTCTTTTAGGTGATCAGTCAGACCTGGGTTATAACTCGCTGTCGAAGGAGGAGGTTCGGAGGGGAGACCCCGGCGCTCCAGACTCGGCCCCCGACAAAGAAGACAAGAAGGAGAGCGACTGCAGCTCCCGTCAGTAGTCCCTCTGATCTGATATCACTGATATTTCTTTCTACTTGTTCTTCTAAAAAATTATAACTTGGCAGCCTCGCAGGATTTCCCCTTCCTCTGCCTTGATCTCTCCGCCTCTCCTCCAGAGATTATTCATTCATTTTGGTTTCTCAACATCAAAGAGTTTCAGCCCTGTGTGGTGTCCTTTTTTTTTTTTTTTTTTTTTAAAGAAGAGCTCCTTTCTCAAGCTGTGCTCGTAGTAAATTTTAAATTGTAATTTTGTGTTTGTAGTATCCGAGACGGAGAGCAGCAAGGGAAGCAAAGACTGCCTCCCCCAGCTGGAGGCGGAAGTCCAATCCTCCTTCAAGACCAGAGGGATCGTCCGCAGCAGTTGTGCTTTTGACGATTCATCGTGTAAACCCAAGAGCTCGGCCAGCGCAGGTAAGGAGGAGGTGGAGTCAGTAGTTATGTAAAGGTGAGGGGGATGCTGGTAAAGTTTTATTTTAATGATATCCCAAATGTGCCTGGATATAAAAAAGTCAGGAGCTTAATTTGAATGATTCCTAACTCATAATTCTCAGCTACTTTTGTTATAAAAGAGGAACCCAGAGGAAAGAATCAGAGCTGAAACATATTTTAAAACATGCTTTAAGAACGTGGGTTATTATTAATTGATAGTATCATCTTATACCTACAAAGCTTAATCTCTACCCTCTAGTTTTCATAAGCAGCCCATGCAGCAGAGTTTGAGCTCATAGTTACTCACTGAAATGTTCCATGGCGATATTTAATGTATGCACACAGGCTTGCACCAATAATATCTCATTAAGAGCCTGATTTTTTCACAGCAGTTCCCCCGATTATGTTTCAACAATTCAGTCGGGAGAATTAAACGGCCACTGTGGGCGGCAATAAGCCAGTGTGTAGGAACTTGGGTTGGAAATCGGTGGGTCGCCTGTTCATGTCAAAAAAGTGGAAATTGGTCTGGTAGCTGTAGAGGTGCTGGGTCACATACCGAGTGCTGCTGAGGCACTGAACCCCCAACAGCTCTGGTGCACTCCCTGTGCTATACTTTATATTTTCATTAAACTACAAATCAGTAGTATTCAAGAAGAGTATCACCAGTACCCAAGTTAAGACCACTTGTGAAACATTAAGGTAATATATAAAACCTTAATAGAAAGCCTTTAACATATTAAACAAATGCACACAAAAAAAATTTAAATGACAACTTGCAGTCACAGTTAGAGCCGTTTTCACAGAGGCACCCCTGGAAATTTCAAGAAAATTTCATTATGTGCTCGAAGATTGCTCCATTTGAAGGATACAAAACGTCACATCACCCTCTCCAACTCGCTCTAAGTGAATTTTCCGGAATATATTGTGCTACGATTACACGTCGGCTCAGCCCAACTTCAAGTGGAAAATATAGAAGGTGGCTGCTGGAAAAAAATATCCAGGTGAAGTCTGGGTGAAAAATAAAGCCGTTTTGCATTTACACATGCAATTTGGAGTTTTGTGCACTAAAATATTCTCTTCATCGACTAGCATTAGGTCCACTATGAGAGGGAGGCACTTCAGATGCTCGGGGACTTCACTTTATCTGCAGAAGATCAATAACATCACATCATGCTTTTTTGCTCTCAGGCCATGTTGCAGGTCTCCTCTTCACTTCCTCCCTGGATGAGATCGGTGAGATCAAGTCCAACAGTTTGCTCAGGAGGCATAAGAGCGCTCTGGAGGAGGTGGTTGGCAGATCCGGCGGTGGCTCCGCTCTCGACTGGCAGGGCGTGAGGGGCCGCCGGCTGAGCGGTGACACGGTTGGCAGCAATGGCAGCGGCACAACTGTCCTCGGCCTGGGTATGTGCCAGGGTGAAACCGACCCTGAAAAGATCGCAGGACATCTGGGGGCGGATGTCAAAATTCTCTCTGGTGCAAACTTCAGTAAGAATACGAAGCCTCGACCGCTGGTTTCGGGGAGGCAGGAGGGGGCTGCTGGTGTTGCCAGGTGTCATGACGACATGGAGGAGGAAGAGGAGACGGAGGGATTGGACTCCAGTGATGAAGACAGAAGTAATACAGAAGCCATTTTTGATTTTGAAGATCTGGATTTGGACAACCCCTCAACAAGAGGAGACATCAGATCTAAAAAATCTCATAAAAAGCCCGTTGGACGAAGCGCCAGCTACGGAGGTGTGAGCGCCGAGGCATCCAGAGTGGCCGTCAAACGCACAGACATCGAGAAGGGCTATGACCCTTTGTCCCTGCTGGCAGCAGAGTCCCATTCCGAGCAGCAAAACGAGGATCAGGACCCAGAGGGGGACGAGGCCAGCACGCCGAGCGCCCGACGACACCTCGCCAGGGAGATCGAGCTGTACATGAACCACATGGGCAGCCCGCTGAGCAGCCGCACACCCAGTCTAGACCTACAGGACCCTTCCAGCCCCCTCCTCCTTCACCCTGCATCCCTCTCTGCCCCCCGCAGAGCCAGCCTGCCGCACAGCTCCCCCCTCAGGGCCGCTGGAGTCCCGCGCTCCCGCACCTTCCACCCGCCCTCGCCCTCGGAAACCATCACTCATCAACGTCTGTGGTCGTCACCTCCACGTCGCAGCTCCAGCACCACCCCGAGCCCCAGTCCTCGACCCAGCCCGTACAGGGAGAGGACAGACAGGATGAGCCTGGCCTCACCTTCACCCTCCTCCTCCTCCTTCGCTCTGGACACTCTGCTCACACCGACGCTCGATGTGTTCAAGACCAGTGTGGTCTCTGCAGGGAAGGGCGTGGCAGAGAAGGCAAGCCGCTGGTATTCCCGCCTTGCAACGTACACCACACCCACCAAGGTACAATATCTGTTTGTCAAAGTTATTGCGCTGTGACAATTTAAAACTCCAACTATTTTAAAAGGACTTTGATCAGATTAATTGTTGTGTTGGTTTCCTACGCTTGTTCTACAAATACCTCTAAATATGTATTTATGTACCGGATCATACACGTCTAAATTTGTGAGTTTCTTCTAAAGGAATTCTGATTTAAATTTGCCCTAAATGGGACCTGAAGCTGCATAAACATGTCTGGTTGTATCGCAGAGCTGTAACTTCTCTCCTTCTGGTTCATTTAGTACTGAGCCACCACAAGCAGTGGTCCAAGATGAAGCCAGAGTTTGAGTTGTACTGCCATCTTGTGGCCAGTTTGGTGTGTCACAGTCCTCGACAATGTGAACGAAAGCCTTTTGGCCATCTTTCTGTATATTTGTCTCCTCTGCTCACTCCTCGTTACTGTTCTCAAAATCTATCAATAACAAAGTACCCAACCACTGACATGTAGACAGAAATCCCTGATTCATGACGACGCAGTCAACCAATCAAATTTCTCGACAGCTAAGATTTCACCATGAAGCAGCTCCCAACACACTTTACATTTAAATGGAACAAACACGGGCCGATCCAAATATATCAAACAAAAAAGTGTTGAAGTAGAAAAAACAAATTTAGATGCATCAATAATAAAGTAATGTTTGAATGAAAATCTTTATTTAGATCAGTGATTCTCAACTGGTCTAGCCTCAAGACCCACTTTAAACTCCTTAATGATTAATCCCGACCCTAATTTCTGATATCTTTCAACCAATTAGATGTATTTAATAAAACAAGCATGTTTTTAAAAGCTCTCTATACTCTTTTGGACACCTTTTTTTTTCCTGGCACACATTTGCGACCCACCAAAAACCACTCCGCGACCCCCTTTTGGGTCCAGAGTCCGACCCACCAGTTGAGTACCAATGATTTAGATAAGTTAGAAACGACCTCTGACAAGTATATGTAATTATCTGATATATTATTATGATACAAACCGTCTGCCAGACCTTTAGTTCAGTACTCAGACGATAATAAATGGTTTTGGATATCTGGCAACATGACTGTGTTTGAATTGCGTGTGTGTGTCTGTTAGCAGCACAGCTTGTAGGTAGCTTGTATAGCATCTGTAACATTCACTCCATGATGGCGTTTACCTGACCCGCTCTCCTCTGTTCATGCAGGAGGGTTTCAGTGATAGAATGAGCGTGTCCTCTCTTGGTATTGGAGATCCAGACTGCTCGTCCATGATGGATGAGGAAGACTGTGGGGAGTCAGGCAGCTCTGTAGTCTCTCCTCAGAGGAACGGCCCGATGGGACCTCGCAAGAGCCCCCGACGCAGCCCCCTCCGCAGCAGACTGGACGGCCCCAGCCTGGGTAGACCCACATCTCTGCTCCCTGGTAAAAAAATGTTCTCTCAAAAGAGACAGCTGGAGAAAGTTATGAAGATAGATTTCTCAAGTTATCAATATCAGCAAATTCCAAAACAAAAACAGCTTTCTTTGTAGCAATTTATTTATGAACTCTTTCACAGCACACCCATTTAAAAAACATCAAAACCAATCACATCAATCAGTGTCCAAAGGAAGTCCTTATAAGGGTCTGCCAATTTGTCACAATTGCTGGATGTCCTAAAAAATATGCCAGGAATAATTTGCTGTTGGTGCGATGTTTTACTCTCTATAACGTCCTTTAAGGTAACATGATTTGATCATTTTTTATGCTCCTGTAGGATCTGTCCTCTCGCCTCCTGGCTTCCCTATGCCGGATAAGTCGGACCTCGGCTCTTCACGCTACACCAGCAACACCAGCATCTTCAACAACTACGCCATGGAGGTAAAACTAGGAGAGTGAGAAGTAGAATTATTACACTGATCAGGCGAAATGTTATACTTATGACAGGTAAAGGGAGTCTCTTTACTTGTCTCTGGGTGGGATATGTTAGGCAGCAAGTGAACAGTTTGTCCTCGATGTTGGAAGGAGGTAAAATGGGGAAGGATAGAGTGAGGATGTGAGCGACTTTGACAAAGGGTGGAATTGTGATGCCTAGACGACTGGGTCACAGCATTTTTAAAACTGCAGCTCTTGTGGTTGTTCTCAGTCTGCAGTGGTCAAATGTTATGTCTTTACCCTGTCACTCGCCTGGACTGCAGCTCTGCTAAATGGCTTTTGCCATACTGCTCTACTACCTGGACAAGAACAGGGAATGGAAAACAGCTCCTAAAGAGCAGCGTGGTTTGGCAGTTTTTCTGATATAAAAAATGGGGACAGAGTTGTATGTGTCAGGTTAAACTGGCCACTCGATCAAGGCAGTGCATAACTACATTTAACCTGCAAGGAGGCATCAAGTCCGGTTGCTTGCAGTGGGTGATGGCGGCGACTGAATGTCATGACACAGTGCATGATTCAGAATTGTATACTTGTTTATTGGTTGCACCAGTAGGGCCCAGTTCACTTTCCGATTAAATATTTGGTCTTAAAAGTGCATCTTTATCGCCATATTTGATGCATAGTTTTAAAATCGTGTGTGTGTGTGTGTGTGTGTGTGTGTGTGTGTGTTTCCAGCTGCTGATCTCCAGCTGTTCTCGCTGTAAGACGTGTGACTGTCTGGTGTACGACGAGGAGATCATGGCGGGCTGGACGGCCGACGACTCCAACCTGAACACCACCTGCCCCTTCTGTGGAAACCCCTTCCTGCCGTTCCTCAACGTGGAGATCAGGGACATGCGAGGACCCGGCAGGTAGACGAGGACACCCAATCATACAACAATCTGTAGCATTTCGTTTTTAGACCGAATGAGGCCTCAATTATCATCGTTATCCCCCATCATTTTACATAGTTACTTAAATGCATTACTTTTGCCAAAGCCCCAAAAACTCAGACATCTATAGAACTTTAGAAGAACCCGATCTTTCTCACACATCATTCATCCTCTCTGCAGGCTTTTCCTGAAGGGCAGCCCGTCGGTGGATGAGGCGATGACCTCATCGTACTCGGCCTCCACAGGTCTGGACACGGGGACGTCCAACTTGTCCACCCCCTGTCCCACAACCGCCGTCTCCCCTCCCTCACCTACGATCGCTGTCCAGGCGTGCTCAGGCACTGGAAGGTAATCGACAAACTTCATTTATTTTTGCCTCTGCCTCTGCCTTAAATGTATATTTATAGGTCCTAAATGTGATATTTTCTCAAACATCTTTATTGAATGTTATTGTTTTTTTTAACTTTATATGTGTCTTTATTCATTGCTGACTCAAAAAAAATCTTTGCTACTGAATGTTTTCAACTAATATTTTAACAGGTAGTTAAAGTTAAAGAGAAAATCTAAAGCTTCTTTGTTCTTGTTTTATTGAACTGGGTTAGAAATCTGTGTAACCGTCTGAGCGTCCTCGCCCTGTCTTCACAGAATTCAATCAACCAGAGGTATCAACATCCCCACAGACCGCCGCCCCGGGGCGCTGTCCCCTGGAGGACCCATGGCTCGCAGTGTGAGCGCCTTTGAGCCTATGGAGGAAACGTCTCTTCCCAGGCGCTGTGTGCCGACATCAGGCAGCCTGCCGAGCCGTCTCAATGAAACCCCGGTATGTCTCGCCTGAAGTCAGTGATATAACAACATTTCAGTGATGCTCCGGTTTTCATAAGCAACTGTTAGCTTACAAGTACTTACTTCATTTCCAGTTTAATGGAAACTTGAATGTCAAGTGCATCATCAAAATAAAATAATTTCCCTCGTTATGCCAAGGACCCTCTGAGTATGGAGTGGCGGCTCCACAACCCCGAGCCGGTGACGGTTCCCTACCTGAGCCCTCTGGTTCTGTGGAAGGAGCTGGAGAGTCTGCTGGAGAACGAGGGCGACCCCGTGATCACGGAGGCCGACATGGTGGATCATCACCCCATCATCTACTGGAACCTGGTCTGGTACTTCAGGCGGCTGGACCTGCCAGTAACCTGCCCGGTCTGATCCTCACCTCTGATCACTGCAACATAGACTCCCAGGTCAGATACGCATTAAACCTACAGAAACGGGGATAATCATAACTTCTCAGAACAGGCTGTTTCTGTGTCTGTACCTTTAAATGTAGATGAGCTGTGTCTGACCACGCCCCCTCTCTGGAAGGGCTTGGGTGTCTCGGGCTTTCTCGCTCCATGTCCTAACACCTAGCTGTGGGAGTGTCACCCACCTGGGGGAGGGTTTACTGCCCTTTGTGATGTCATGAAGGGAAAATCTCGACCAGTGGAGTCTTGACAGAACAAATTTTTTTTTTTCTTGCCCATGTATATTCTAACAAAAGAAAGCAATAGAAATAATTGAATATATTTTTGTCCACTGTCTCACCGTGCTTCTGTTTGTCTCTGGTCGTCTGTCAGGTCCCTCGTCACTGGATGTCCGAGGACAGTAAACACGTCCTGATCCAGATTCTGTGGGACAACCTGAAGCTGCACCAGGAAGCGATCCAGCCTCTCTACATCCTGTGGAACACCTTCAGTGAGTCACACGGCTCGGTTTGTGTCTGTTTATGAGTCAGCAGACAGTCTGATAATTTACTCTCAGAGGAGCACTGACTGCTGCTGATAAAGATTTTTAGAAACTGCAGCATTAAACTTTAATGATCCTCAGAGTGAAGCACAACAAAAGTGAAAAACAGAAGAATGGGGTGAAAACACTTGAGGAAATTAAAGGAGAGGGGGGGGGGAGTGAATCAAGCAGGGATAGACAGATTTAATGCACAAAAAGAAAATTACAAAAAGTGCATAAAAAAACAACTTTGAAAATAAACCAAGAAAAAAATAAAACATTAAATCTTTAACTGCAGAGGTTAAATAGCATCAGATGTAAACATCAGATCTGTGTGGAGCCATCAGGTTTGTGCTCAGTCTGTGTTAATGAGTTGTGTAATGTCGACGGAGGCGTGGACGCAGCTGGCTAATGATGTGCTAACAGGCTCTGTCTGCTCTCTGTCTTGCAGGGCTTAATTGTTCTCTGTTGTTAGACAGTGAGTGTTTATCTCTCCTCTTTAGACGAGTCTTCTTGTTTGTGTGCTGCTGTTCTGTCTCCAGACCTGCTTCCTCCCTCTGCTCGCTGTCTCTGCTCGATGCATTTCAGTGTGTCATCTGTGGAAAAAAAAATCAGCCTCAGTGTCTTTGTAAAGTGTCAAATCTTCTGACTCTGACGGAGGGATTGTGTGTTTGTTTTTTTTGTGAAATTCTGGTGACACATCAAATATCTACGTTTGAATGAAGGTGTGCATCTCTGATGAATGTTTACATCCATTAGCTGAGATGGAGTTCATTGTTTATTCTTCTGCAACTTAAAAAAAAAGACGTACTTTTAGTACTAAAGGGGCTGGGTACTGAAGACAATAATAACAATAATAATCCATTTATTTTTTTAACACTTTTAAAAACGAGGGTTTACAAAGTGCTTTCACACACGACAAGCAAACATAAAAACAAAAACAAGACCACAGAGCAACTCACTGAAGAGACACCAAACCAACAACAACAGAAACCCCGACAGTAAAAAAAGAACCCGAACAGAAACACGACCAACATCAGAACCCAAACATCACCAGAATTCAAGCAACATAGTATATCATAATAGCTCGGGTAATACAGGAAACCAGGCAGATTAGGTTGAGACCAAGAGGGCCGAGGCTATTAGGAGATTCAATTAAATTCAAAAAACTTTATTTGTCCCCGATGGGCAATTCAAAAGCAAATCAAATAAGTGAGCAATTAAAAGAGACACAGTAAGAAGTAAGAGCTTCAAAACAATAAAAAGTGGCTAGACACTATAAAACAAGAAGACAAATTACACTCCAGACTTCATCTATTCTGTATTTTATTTGTCCATTTTACTGCAGACTCACCCTCCCTGATTTCTGACTCGATCCGCTGTCCTGTCTTTAAAATAAAAGTGCAGTGCAGCGGACCTTTTAGATGGAACAAAATGTGACCGATCAAAAGAGACACAACAAAACAAAATGTATTAAAAGCTCACTATAGACTATTTACAACATTTTATTTTTCCTTGCACTCATTGGAGACCCTCTGAAAACAGCTCAGTGACCCACTTTTGGGTCCCGACTCACCCGTTGAAAACCACTGCTCTAGGGTACAGCTCATTGGGATCCTAACAAACAAACAAAGCACAAAATATTCAGTCGAAATATAATACTTTAGGCTATCGTTAACTCATCTAATTTATGTTGCATATCAACAGAACTAATTTTGTTGATATATTTGTCTCGATATTTGATCGAGTTGACTTTAACTTGATCTTATTCAACAAACACTTTATGTTAAGTGAAGTATATTTACAAAGGTACCCAGCCTCTAGTACTTCTCATCTGATTGTAAACATTTCAGTGATTCAAACATTTTCATTTTTCCATTTATGTTCTTCGTTTGACACACTCACGAGTCCACAGCTGAACTGTGTGTGTGTGTGTGCGTGTGTGCGTGTGTGTGTGTGTGTGTGTGTTTCTGCAGATGTGGGTTACCCTCTGTCCCGGCCGGTCGTGGAGGAGGAGAAGCCGTTCAGCGAGGAGTTGCTGCACAGCGTGGTGAGGAGCATCCAGAGGAACGACATCAGCCGGCCGATGGCTCAGCTGCTGCAGCTGCTGGGACAGACGCTCGGAGTCAAGAGGCAGAGGTCACGACCTGAACAACATGTCATCAATATTTAGTTTTTCTAAATGTTTATATCTGCCCTAAAAAAAAAGGGACAAATATCATTTACAATAATCAATGACATTTAGTCGTTTTGAATCCTGAAGCGCAACTGTTTGACCTCTCTCTCTCTCTCTCTCTCTCTCTCTCTCTCTCTCTCTCTCTCTCTCTCTCTCTCTCTCTCTCTCTTCAGGAGTTTGTATCGGGACGTTCTCTTCCTGTCTCTCGTGGCTCTTGGAAAAGACAACATTGATATCGGTGAGTCAAATATTTCTGCTATAAAGATCATATGTCAGATCCCCAGAATCTTACATACAACAATCATCTCCCTGTGTTTAAAAATATTTTCTTAATTTTTAGTTGAGCTAAAGGTTATAAACGAGACGTCTATTCCAGGCTGCTCTGGTTAAAGGAAACTTGATTTAAATAAGAGCTGCATTTACAATCTTCTGTCCCTTCTTTAGAGAAACATGATCAAACAGTAAATACTTTTATTTTACCATTAAAGGCACGATATGTAAATTCCACCACCAGGGGGCTCTCAATCAAAACAAAAGATGACGTTGTGGCTGTCAGGGAATCATGGGAGTGATTCTCTCTGCTACTCTGTAAACTAGCTGGCTGTTAACCTAAAACTACAAACTAAAAGACGCTATAATCCTCCTTAGAGCTGAGGAAACAGTTTGTTCCTCTGGATTCACAAACATGTTTTTGCATCTTTGATTGAAGGAAAACAATACTTAAATCGCCTCATGTGGTTAAAAACGATCACTAGAGAATATATTGTTCTAATCTTCACTTCCTGCTCCTCCCCCCTCAGACGCCTTCGACCGCGAGTACAAGTTGGCCTACGACCGCCTTGTACCGAGTCTGGTGAAGCTGACCCACAACTGTGACCGTCCTCCCAGCACGGGGGTGATGGAGTGCCGCAGGACGTTTGGAGAGCCTTACCTGTAAAATTCACACACACACACACACACACACACACACACACACACACACACACACACACACACACACACACACACACACACACACACACACGCCATTGCTTGAAGACGCGCTCAGGAAACCTTGGGGAGGACTGTGAATGTTGCACTACGGTAACGATGTTTCAAACGGTACAGACGACAGCGCTCAGCATTCATGTAGCCTGAAACAAAAACTAAATGGAGGATTTCAAACACTCACACACATAAACTGGACTTCATCCAGCGCTGTTACATGACGCTTCTACCCTGTGAAGATGATTTAAATATCCTGTAAATACACAACAGTAGAGGATTTTTATAATGCAACATTTATATTGTCATACAGCATATGAAGACTAATTCTAGAAATATTTTAACCTGAAATATTTATACAAAGTAAGCTTTATTTATTGTCTTGTCTTCTGTTTGGTTGTGTCCTGTGGTTGTTTGAGGCGTGTTCCTCTAAATGAGGATTTCATTTCATTATCTGGTTTAAAAAGCTTTCATGTGTTTTTAACCACCACGTCTTTAAGTCCAGTAAACTCAATGATGTTGTTAGCAGGAGCTACCTGCGGCTAACACTGTGCTGTGTGCGTCTATGGACGTTAGCTAAAGGCTCTGCTCCCTGAAACATGAGCAGGAAACACATTTCCAGCAGGGGAAAGAAAACCAACGTGCTCTCTGCAGCTGGATTTCAGGTGTTAAAATCACATCCAGCAGTTTTCTTTGTCGGTGGTCTCAAATGGGCGAGTCTCCTGGCTCACAGGTCAGACTTTTACATGATGTAGTCTGAGCCTGGGGTACTCGTGTTAGAACTTTAAATGTAGGTTAAATGAGCTCTCATGAACTATGACAGCGTGTCCTAACAGCATGTGGAGTGAGCGGACATTAGCGACAAAATCAGCCTGATTCAATTGTTTCCTACTGGAGAGTCAAGACGGTCTGCGAGCCAAAGCCTGGTTTTTATTTTCATTCCTCTCCCTCGTGTAGACAATTATGAGGAAGGAGGGGGCTATCCAAGGCACTGGCATTGTCTCTTCTTTCACTCAACAGAGGTTTTTAGCTTGTTTTTCAAAGGTGAGATAGTAGTGCATTTATAATATCCATATCCCTGTTTGAGATGTTTTGCTTTGACTTGTGTCAACGCCAGAGGAAAAACCTAAATCAGCTCACAGCGAGACGTTTATTAACGAGCGCTTAATTGTGTTTGTGAATTGAGTCAACAGCTTGTTAAGACAAAGCTTCACACTTACCTTCATTACAAAATCACTAGATGTTAAACTGTTCACAGAGCAGAGAAGTAAACATGTAACAGATGCAGCGTGGACAGCGAGCGTATCTGAAAGTCTGCTGCAGGAGTAACGCCTGTGATTTCTTAAAGATTGAGATTTTTTTATCATATCTTTGTTTTTAACTTGAAATTTTCTGAAATGTTCTGTAAAAAAAAGCCAACGTGTGCTGCAGAACTTGTTTCAAATATCACCTGAGTAAACATCTCATCAAGAGATGAAAGTCTGCCCGAGCTTTTATCTCAAACATATCGAATTTAAACCAAAAACAGATTCTTATATATCAGTGTTTACTGGATGATCCAGTGTGGCTGCTTCATTACATACAGTATCAGTGTTTGGATTTCTACCTTTGATCCTCCTGGGAAGAAAAAACCCTGAACCCTCAGCTTCAATCTTTATTTGTATAGCGCCAATTCATAACATGTGTTTTCTGGAGACGCTTTACTAAAGAGCAGGTAAAAGACCTTTACTCATTGTTAAGAAAAATGGGATGGGGGAGATGGGATAAGAAGCAGGAAGGATTTCTCCTTTGTATTCCTAAGTGTTCCTAAGGTGGAGGTCAGAGCAGGCCGTGCATGGACGAGGACGGCGGTGGTTGTGGGGACGACACAGTCCGATGGCCTGGCTGATACTTTATATCCACATACTCATCTCCTCTCATAAATGTAGAAATGAAAAAAAAGTGAAACCACGATTCCAGTTCTGTTGTTTCTGGTGAACAATGGAAACAAAGAAGAGTCACTGAAAAATGGATGAGTTCATATTTGGTGTTAACAGGTCCTCTGATTGATGAATGAACATGCTCCAGTGTTTGTGAAGATAAGGGATTATCAGGACTCAAACTTGAATCATGAAAACGTTCATATCTGGGAGAGTTATCAAACTGATCTGATTATCAACATGTTGGAAGGATTTTTCTTCACCTACAAAAATACTTTGTACACATGAGCTCATATCAAATTCTGCGTTTTCTTTCCATCAGACCGATGTGATGTTTTTCTTTATGGGTTATTAAAGCTTTTAAAAACTGTATTAGAGACTGTCCAAGGGAGAAAAATAGTTTTTTTGGCAGGAAAACAACTCGTAGATGTCTCACATACCATCCTTAAACATATTTTATCTACACTGACACTGTGGTTGACGGAGGACCCTCGAGTCTAAACTGATAGAGGGTCTCATGAAGGTCGACGTTGTGTGTGATTCATGGCAGAGAAAACTAACTCTGGAACAAGTTGCACTTTGACCCTAAGAAGTGGACTGACCACAACTGAGCAGCTGGAAAACGCTGTGATCCATCTGTGGACATTTGTTGTGTAATAGTTGTACAAATGAATGATTTTGCAGTATCTGGGGTTCATGTACATTTTAACTCGCCCTTTGTAGAAACCACATTTTATAACAGTTTATGTGAAAAGGTCCTTTTTAGATGTGCTGAAGGTTCTGTACAGCGAGCAGATCTGCAGGACTGTTTAAGTGTAAATAAAATCACTCACTCTCTGTGTTGGTACTGTTCTTCTTTCTCCTGTGAGGGAGATCACTCTGGTCACTGGGTGCTTCTGAATTGCAAAGTGCCTACAAAATCTGTCCGTGCTGTATCCTGTTAGGAGCTACTGTTCAGTAGGCCGATATTTGTTCCTACTTCGTCTGATTCATTCAGTGTGGAAGTGGCGTCGTTAGCCCGCCTCATGTTATTGACACTCCAACTCAGATGTGATATGCACGATGGCTCTGTAAATAATACAAAACTTCACATTGCATGTAAACAATTTAACAACTTAACATTTAAAAGGCGTGTTAACCAAACCGACCGCATCCATCCTTGTTTGTTCTGATTTGGAGGCACATGTGAAGTGACGTTTTACATTTAATTTTGCACTGCATTGTGGGAGTTAAAATACAATTAATTTCCTCAAAGGATGCATCCAAACCATACTGCACAAAACCAGGAAGTTAGTATCCATCCTATAATGTTCAGTCTACTGAGGTGGACCCAAAAAATGCTCACTGAATGACCCAGAGGGATTAGTCTACTGAAACCACCTACTACTGGTCCATTCATTGGTGTGGGGAGGTAATCATCTCAGTGCAGGTGTGTGTGTGACTGATTGGTCTGATTTGAACCAGGTGTGTTAAGGTTTTATATTCCTTCGAGTTGCGGCACTCTGTGCTGAGTTTGTCTCCAGTTTTCATCCATCCAAATAACTTTCTGGTGTAAATTGGCCTAACAAACACATAACTCCTTTGCACACTTTTTTCCAGTGACCATGCACCCACAGCTCCAGCCCACTGTTAAAAAAATAATTTATTGCAGCATGGAATTGTAATTTGAGATATCAATAGTTTTCCTATCGATAAAATACACGTTTGCATCGACATCTGTCCAAAAAGAGTATTTAACAAGACGGTAACATCTGACAAAATGACACCAGTTGTTGTTTATCACACAGCTAAGACAGTCCGACACACACGCACACACACACAATCACTGTTTCTCTCGACAAATTGAAACTTTTACACAAAAAACATCCTTTTACACACTGAACATTAAACACTAGTTTAAGAGATTTTAGTTACGGAAATACTGGAGTTGCATCCAGGAGTTTTGAATTTCACTAAGCTTGTATTTGACTATCTTACATTTCCTAATGACAGCATTGATCCTGTCTCGGCATATTTAGTCTGTTAAAATGGCGACGATCGATAACAGTCCAAACCCATCGGCTCAGATGGAGATGGGACAGATGAGGATACGATCCTCCAGCATGACGCTGAGAACCAGGAACACAAAGTACAGTATGAACATGGTGAGTCCCAGCATCCGGCTCATCTTCCAGCGACAGGCGGCTATGGAGATGATGACGAAGAGCAGCATGAGGAAGAGCAACACGATGGCGCAGAACAGGCCGTTTGAGCTGACGGTAACCGGGTCGCCGTTGTGTAACAGAGTGTATATGAGCCACGGGACCGGCAGACTGAAACCAGAGAGGACAAAAAGGATTCTGTCAATACTTCTGACCAGTACATTTTGGTTTATAATCGATCATTGAATATCCTATATGCCGGATCCAAAAACACAAATAGATAAGCATATTGAAATAGGTAAAATAACTAGCTTGACCATGTCTAGCTACCACATTCAAAAATGGTGGCAGCATTAATACATAACACTATAATAGTGCGATAAATGTTAGTCAGATGTTTTTTCAGTACTTATACTATACAAGTTAATTTAAGTAATACCTGCAATCATACAATTCATTTCATATCAAAAATTTATTTATGAATTTCATAATCAGCTGCTAAAGTCAAGTTGGCGTTCCTCAGGGTTTAATTGTAGCTCCTCTAGCTTTTACATTTTTTTTTCTCTATTTGATTAGATAAATCTTACTTAATCCTACAATTGGGACATTTTCTGTGCACTATTAATCAGATATTTAAAACACATCCATCTTGGTATGCAGATGATAATAAAGGCAGAACTTTGTTGCAAAAACAAGCAAGTAAGATATCGTTATGAAACCCTTTCTTTTAGATATTTGTCCCAAGATTTTACACTCACTACCTTGATGCCTTAAATGTCTGCATATGATTTTAATGTTCAGGATCACAACAGTGATTTAGTAATGCTTTTCTTCATTTGAGATAAGTCAAGCTTACAGCTGGTTTACACACAGGAGGGATGTTGCTGTCACTCACCCTACAGTAATGTCAAAGATGTTACTGCCCACTGAGCTGGACACGGCCATGTCCCCCAGACCTTTACGGGCAACGATCACACTGGTGATCAGGTCGGGTATCGATGTCCCCGCTGCCAGGATGGTCAAGCCCATAATTTCCTCTGAGATGCCGACAGTCTCGCCCACCTGTAGAGAGAAGACAACGGGTTAAAAAACATATGATACTAAGAGCTGCATGTGTTCAATAGTCATCCAACCATACATATATTTATCATGGCTTTGAACTGCAACGTCTTGGTGATATTTCACTTTGCCAACTCAAACTAAAATCGTATTTGTGCCCCCTTTAGCAGAGCCCCTTCAGTAAATGAATGTTTTGGTGTCTTTATTGAATATCCTAAAATAAGTGAAAATCAGAATCGCCATAGCTTGGCTTGTCGTTACTTAAGGTTGTACACATTACCTGGAGAGTTGTGAGTAAATATGAGTTGACTCTGTGAATGTGATTAAACCAAACTACCTACAAGTCGAAACCCATTTTCACATATTCACTGCTGAAAACATCTAGATGATTTCAGGAGGATTGCTCCGGATATTCTCCTGGAGTTTTCAGGAGTGTGAAAGCGCTAATAGGATAGTAATTCATTATTTCAGAGGACTATGACTAAAATCTTTTTTACAATCGGTAAAAACACAAGCCTTTCTGACTGGGTGATTTCCTTTTAGAGCAACTTGTATATTAACTATCAACCAACCTGATGAGCCCACCAAACCATCAGGTAGGAGAAAACCCCGATCCACAGGATGGAGCCGATGAACGTCATGACAAAGTACCTCCTGGATGCCTGAAAATTACAAAAAGAGATCACACATTGTGTTCAGAGAAACTACCCAATGGAAATGGTAAAAAAGGGGATCACAATTTCCCAGTTTGGGATCAATAAAGTAATTATATTTTATTCTATTGTTAAAGTTTAAACGGCTATAGATTTGGATCTGATGAAAGAACATTTCTCTTTTATCACACTTCCTTATTGGTTTTTGAAGGTGTGATAAAATCTATTTACACTTTTTATTTCACCTCACAGAACACATATCTACCAGGAGAAATGTTACAGAAATAAAAAAAATAAAAAGTCTGTCCAGATTGCCTTTGTGCCACATTTCAAAATGTACTCAACCATGACTGTGGTCGTAATGTGAATCTGTTGGTTTATGTTTTAACCCAGATAAGCTGTGTTGGATGTGTTTAGCTAGATCTTCAAATCTAGCTTAAAATGTGTGTGGGTGTCTCGTCACACTCACCGGGTTTCTGACGTCGGGCAGCGTGAGCCACAGCGGGAACACGATGGGCAGCAGGAACAGATACGTCGCCTGTTTTCGTCTGTTATCAGGCCACTCTAAAGACAACGGCTCACTCTCCTCCTCTTCCTCCTCCTTCTCCTCTTCCTCCTTGTCTCCATCATCATCTTCACTCTCGCTGGAGTCACTGCTCTCCTCATCAGCGCTTTCGTCCTCAGCGCCGCCCTCTGACCCCCCCCTGCAGGGTAGTCAAACAAGTCAGCATGTTTTTGAAGCAAATTTCAAAACCCCTGTGATGCTTGATATTTGTTTTATAATCAAAACAGGGGAAACAGTTACAGTCACTAGTCACACCTTTGACGGGTTTACCTGCTCGTTCTTTCTCGTCTCTTCAGTCTTTTGAAGTTGGGATGTGGACGGCTCGACTGCAGCGCCCCCTGCTGCCCCGGACTGCTCAGTATTTGTCTTTGGATCATCATCTGGAGAAACAAAGGAAGAATCACATATACACTAGGGCTGGGAATTTCCCACAACCCCACGATACAATATGTATCATGATACAGAGGCAATGATACGATACACATCATGACATACATTGAATTTGGATAATGACCATGTCCTACACAGAATTCACTACAACAGCTGTTCTTTATTGTTGAGAATTACAGCAGAGGCATAAAGAGCTTACATCTTAAAACACTTCAAATCAGGTCCTCAGAGATCCTAGAAATACATTCAAATATTTTAATCCCAGAGCTATAGCTAAGGTTTTATTGTGAACTGCACCATAGGTCAATTGTCCTTCAAAACTGTCATCACAGCTTTGCAGCCGTATTGATTCTGTATCATCCTCATCAATACATGTATTTGCAAGGAGCACAGGTCAATATATTGCCAAATCGATTTTTTGAGCACAGCCCTATTATGCACTTCTGATCATTTCAGGAGGACTGCCCATGAATGTCCTCCTGATCTGGCTGTTCACACATGCACCTCACAGCTGGAGACTCTCTGTAACAGGGGAAGGGGAAGGGGGGTCTCCTGAGGCAAGACATGACGTTAAAAGAATGATACTGGAGAATAGAAAACATAATGCATGGAGAAGGAAACTGTTTGTATTTGTACAACGATCGCAGGGAATAAAAGTCATCACTTCAAACTGCTTGCTTGAGGTAAATTTTAGGGGGTGTTCTGGGTGAAGTCTGAGTGAAAAAAGGAGCTTTTTGCATTCACACATGCAGCTCAACCCAAAAGACTTCAGGAGATTTTCAAGGGTTTCACACAAGTGTGAACAAAGCCACATATTTTCTATGGGAACGTCTCATGCTTAAGTTTAATGACACCTGCGTTCCGCTCAAAAACATTTTACAGTCATCTGGAGGTGTTTGGTTCAAACTCTAACACAGGAACAAGAATTCTAGCTAATCCACATAGTAGGTAAAAACTAATAATTTGAATGTTAAATTAAATTGACACATTATTCAGGTGTGTGGACCGATATGAAGGCACAGCAGGAAT